TTTTTTTGATAAAAAAATCAAGTGGACCAACTAACATAGTACTTTTGAAGCGCAGCCGACGATGTTGGGTTGTTTGACGGTTTCTGTTTAGGAACAGTAATACAGTGTCGGTTCACTCTACACGCGTTGTTTTATCCTCAAATTGGGCACCCACTGAATTCAACGTTGTTTTGGCAAAGTGGCGAGATTAATCCACTAACTAAAACCCTCTTTTTCATAATTCATAGATATAGTGGGGGCTAATTAATGATGAAAGCCGACATTTAGGCGGCTAATTAGAGGAATAATCTCTTGATTTAAGGAGATAATAGGGGAGTTTAATAATATGAATTCTTCTTGTCGGTGTAGGACAACCATGGTTAGAGTTAAATCGTGTGGTTGAACTAACCTATAAATCTAGTCATCTAGAGTTGTTTGAAATGTTGATAACTACTATTCATCCACAGATAAAGAATTCATTTAAAAAAAAATAGGTGAGAGAATTCCTAAAATTTAAATATCATTTCAAATTTTGTGAGAAACTAATGTGAGATTGTATCATGTCTATTTACATAATTGTTTGTTTGGATATTGAATTGAATTAGGTTTGAATTGAATGATGTGTTCCGTATCAATTAAAAATTTAACTTATATATAGTTGAGTTACACATTTATTATTTATATATATATGTATTGTTAAACAATTTGAACTTTGGTTAAGTTTCAAGTTTCACGAAAACATGAAAACGAAAACACAAGATACGAAACATGTGAGAAAATACAAATATAAAATATATAAATGTATATTTGTAAATATTTGATTTTAAGTTTTCAATAGTTTTAAAATTAAGGAAATTACTTTAAAACATTTCATGAAAATTTCATAAATTTAAAGGAAGAATTATTTTTGAAACCTGAAAATATTAATCATTGAGAGTTTTCATATCGCCTATGTTATTAATCAATAATGAATGTTATTACTTGTATTGTAAAAATTCCTAGACACTAGTTGAGAGTTTTTTTGAAACAAAACGGAACCAGTAGATTAATTCAAAAGATCAGAAATACACTGGGGTGGGTATGTATCCCACGACCCTAGGACAGATCCAGAAATCGTTGCCCGTGCAAGCACATGAGCCACGTGATTCGCTGACCGCTTGACATGGTGAACTCGAACGTTCCCAATGTCACAGGCAAGCAGTTGACACTGCTTTACAATTGAATCGACATACGATAAATCAAGACAACGAGAATTAAAAGCAACAGATAAATTTAAACAGTCGGTTTCTAAAACTACATTATTCCAGTTGTGGTGTTTTAACCAAGTAAGCGCTTCCTTCACCGCTATAGCTTCTGCCATGAGAGGGTCTGTAATGTTGGCTATTCTGCCATTGTGAGCCGCGACAAAACGACCTTCATGGTTTCGGAGAACTGTCCCAAAACCTGCACCGTTTGCGAGAATAGCTGCATCGACGTTACATTTTAGCCATGACTGTGGTGGCGGAGTCCATGCGACCGTCCCGGAGCCGTCGCGTGTTGTCTTTCCGACACCCCCAAAAGTATCCTTCCATTGCGTGCGTAAAAGATGAACCTGGATGCGAAGAGACTCAACTGAACGATTTTCATCCTTCCATACTTTAGCGTTACGAGCAGACCATAACGACCAGAAAGCCGCCGCCAGATGGATCGCGACTTCATCAGACGCGAAACTGAGGGCCAGCTGCATGCATGAAGTAACGGACAAAGCATCCATATCCAGTTCCTCACCCCAGACCTTGCGCGCAATGCTGCAATCACAAAGGAGATGATCCAGTGTTTCAGATGGAAAAGCACAGAGAGGACACCCTCCCCCAATCCATACGTGACGGAGTTTGAGCGTCTCTTTCACCGGCACAATGCCTCGAATGCACCTCCATAAGAAGTTTCGAATTTTTGGTGGCACGGGCAATTTCCACAATTTGTTCCAGGCTGTGAACCCCGGAACAGTAATGGGGTAATGGCGGGACTTGGTGAGTAATTCATACCCGTGTTTAACAGTGTACATACCTCGCGGATCCCCCTGCCATCGCCACGAGTCCTCCTGCGTACACGAAATAGGCGTTGCCAGGATTCTGTTTCGATCACTCTCAGTAAATAAATCATGTATAATTTGAACATCCCAGGAACCTTGCGAGTCCATGAGCCCATCGACCGTGACATCTTTGAGCTCCTCTATAACAGAAGTGTGGAGCTCCGGTGATGCGTATCTGACAACCACGGCCAAGACCATATGCTGGTTGACCTGTCATTCCCAATACGACGGGCAGCGCCAATTTTGAGTAAGTCTTGACCTGCCATGATGCTTCGCCAAATATAGCTTGGGTTATTACCCATTTGAGCTGACAAGAAGTCCGTCTTCGGGTAATATTTCGCCGTCAGAATGCGACTCACTAACGAGCTGGGGTACACCATCAGACGCCATCCCTGTTTAGCCAATAGGGCACAATTAAACTCATGCAGATGTTTGAACCCAAGGCCGCCTTGGTCCTTGGGAACACAAAGTCGACTCCAACTTAACCAATGAATGCCTTTACCAACGGTCCTACCGCTCCCCCACCAGTACCGATTAAAACATTTTTCAATTGAGTCACACACTCGTCCTGGTAACAAAAAGACTGACATGGTGAATATGGGCAAAGCTTGGGCGATACTTTTCAAAAGGACTTCCTTTCCTGCTCTAGATAAAAACCGTTGTTGCCAGCCCCCAATTCGGTCTCGAATCCGTTGTTCAATATATTTGAACGTGGATGTCTTGTTTCGGCCTAAAACCGACGGGAGCCCTAAGTAACATCCCAGATCAGTCGTTACAGGCACACCCAAAGTGGTAGACACCATGACATTAGATTTATCGAAATTAATTACCTGTCCTGATGCAACACTATATGTGTTTAGACAATTCTGTACATGAATGGCTTCTGTTTCTACGGCTCTGAAAAAAAGGAGACTGTCGTCTGCGAAGAAGAGGTGTGAAATAGGTGGGGCACCCCTAGCCACCCGAATCCCATGTATATCCCCCCGGGCCTCGGCCTGTTGTAACAGAATAGAAAGGCCTTCAGCACACAGGATAAATAAGTACGGGGATAGCGGGTCCCCTTGACGGATACCTCTCGTAGGAAGAACTGTCCCTACCTCTTCGCCATTGACATGGATGGCATAACGGACCGACGTCACACACATCATCAGCAGGTCCGTCCACTCCTTAGCAAACCCCAAAGCGTTCAGCATACCCTCCAAAAAGCCCCATTCCATTCGATCATAGGCCTTGGCCATGTCGAGCTTTAGCGCAGCCCATCCCATAATCCCATTTGTTTTGAGCCTTAGAAAGTGTCCCACCTCACCGGCTACAATCACATTGTCAGTTAATAATCTGTTCGGTATAAAAGCACTTTGCGACGCCGAGACGATTGATTCCAGCACGTCCTTTAGGCGATTAGCTAGCATCTTAGCCAGGACCTTATAAGCCACATTGCAGAGCGCAATAGGGCGCAGGTCAGAAACTTTTTCTGGTACCTTCTTTTTGGGGATTAGCACGATATTGGAGTCGTTTAGCCTCTGTGGAAGCGATCGACTCGTTATGCAGTTCATAATAAAAATGTATAAGTCATGGCCTACCACGGGCCAAAACTGTTGGTAGAAAGCTGGTGTCATACCGTCCGGGCCTGGAGCTTTCTCTGGCGCCATTGAGAAAAGAGCTGCCTTGACGTCTGCCATAGAGAAGGGTTGTAATAATGATGCATTCATCTCGGTTGTGACTCGATTGGGCACCCTATTAAAGAGGTCAGCTCGTGTGCCTTCCGATAGAAAAATATGATTGTAATACCTCAGCACCTCCGCGTGCATCTCCGGGCCTTCCACCCAAACATTATCTGGCGTTTTCATACGAAGAAGCAGGTTGGATCGACGGCGGGCTGTTGCCGACTTATGAAAATACTTAGTATTTAAATCCCCATGCTTCAACCAAAGTTGCTTGGCTCGTTGTTGCCAGAATATTTCTTCCTGACGAAGCAGAGCGCGCAACTCTTTCTCAATCATTAAATATGTCGAGATGTCTTTTGGAATGCGTGAGTCTCGTAATGCCTCCAGTCGGCCGCGTAGAACTTTCATGCGATTCCCAAAGCGGCGAAATAAATCGCCACCCCACTTCCCCAAATGTCGACCGCAGATGTCAATCCGTGACTGGAAATCCATACCAATCGTACTCCGCCAGGTGTTGTCGATAATTTTCCTGCAGCCCTCGTCTGCGAGCCATGCAGATTCAAACTTGAACTTCTTCGTAGCAGCCCGGAAATCCCGATCCTCGATGTCCAGCAGAATGGCAGTATGATCCGAGGATAGAACAAAAACATTGTAAACCACCACAGTCTCAAACATATCTAGCCAATCTGTCGTCGCCACCGCTCTATCGAGGCGTTCCTCCACCCATGTTTCCGTGCCACGACCTTTATCCCATGTAAAAGGGCTGCCTACCATGCCTAAATCGACAAGGCGGCATTCATCTAGAATATCATTGAAAGCATCGATCTGAGCCGTTGGATGTGAGTGTAAGCCCCTCTTTTCCGATTGGCTCAGAATGTCGTTGAAGTCACCAATTACACTCCATGGCAGCTGCGATTCGTCCTTTAGTCGTCGAAGAAGCCCCCACGACAAATGGCGGTCTGTTCTATCTGGGTGGCCATAAAAGCAGGTTAAACGCCACTCCGGTCTATCGGGCAGCGAGACGGTAACGTCAATATGATTGTCGGAATAGCTTAGCAGAGTAGCCATCCCCGTATCTCACAGTGCGAGTCCTCCCCCCATTCCTGTACGTTCCACACAAATTAAACATTCGAAGCCTAACTTAACTTTCACCCGTTCCACTTGCCATAATAAAGCTTTCGTTTCCATAAGGAAAACGAAGCTGGGTCGCTTCCTGGACACAACGCCCAGTAATTCTTGAACTGTCTGGTCGCTACCCATCCCCCGGCAGTTCCAGCTTAGGATGGTCATTGCGATGGGCGGATCTGGCCCGCCAGACCCGCCGGAGATGTTGTAGAGACATGTTCAGCCATGACCAAATCATTTGATTCTTCATTATCTTCCCTTCGACGTTTAAGATCGCCATGCAACGCTCCCTTTTCCTCCTCTTCTGTCACATTCACTGTGGGGACTGGTGGCGGGGGTACCGACGACACCACCGTATCCCGGGCAAGGTCCGCTAGCAGCCATCGTGCGCCCACTGGCTTTGCTTGGCGACGAGACTCCGCGCGCATCCATGCTCCATAGGGAAACGACTCTGGCTCCAGTCCTTCTTCGTAGACCCGTTTGCAGAATTTGTCTGAATGGCCCAAGACCCCGCAGCAGAAACAGAAGGTTCCGAGTCTTTCGTATTTGAATGAGATCCACTGAGTCGATCCATCTTTACGAAAAATCTTCAGCCGACGCTTCAGAGGGACGGATAGATCCAACCGTACCCGGATGCGTTGGTAGCTACGCCATGATCCACCAAAGTTGTTAGGATCGATAGCGAGAAAAGATCCCACATAGTTGCCGACGCGAGTGATGAAATCCGTCGATGCATATATCGCCGGTAAGCCGTGGATGCGTACCCAAAACGAGATCGCTTCCAATGGCACATCCTCAGGCCTAGTCCCCGGTGGAACCACGTCGCAGATCAACGTGTTATTCTCGTAAGACCAGGGACCATCATCAAGAACACGCTGCCGATCCTTCTGGTGCGGAAACTGGAAAAGAAACAAGTTTTCATCGAGCGGTTGGACACGCATGCCACTAGTTGAGAGTTTAATGAGCATTTAACTTAAAAAAAATATGAGTTTTTTTTTAAAAAAAATATTTCTAGACTTTTATCAAACATTTCTCTTGTAAAATACAAACATTTGAATAATTACAATATGTAAACTTCACAATTCCAAAATCTAAACACAAAGATGTAGAGATCGCTAAGTGCATGGGCTATAGTATGAAAATTGAGATTGTGCTATTGCTAGTATTCTGAGTAAAAACAAACAAATTATTATTGAGTCACAATTATACCGCTTCCTTACAAAGTTTTGACTATAACTTTATGTTACATAAATAACCATTTTTTTTTTTTGAAAGGAATGTTCCATTAAGATTTTTTCTTCTTCTTTTTTGAGGAAACGTACATAACTTCCATTAAGACTTCTAATTACTGTATAACAAAACATACTTTCAACTCATGTCATGATTAACAAAAAATTCAACTAATACTTTGCAACATTATGTCTAAAAGTACATCAATAGTTTTTGAAAAAAAATTGGTGAAATAGACAATCGATTTTATACGAAAAAATGATTAAACTTTAAACTCAAATAGTTACAATTAAATATATCAACCCGTCGATTTGATAGAATTAAACTAATAGATTGTTAAATTGTTACAATTAAGTAATAGTTGATAAATCTAACTAGTAAAACACGTCGACATGTCATTTTTAATTAATTAAATTTTAAAATAGTGGTTGCCATAAAAGCCGACTATCTCTATGTCTTCTCCCGCGTTTTTCCATCCGGATCCGACTCTTTATCTAGTTTTGTTTTAATTTTTAAAATTATTTATTTAAATAAATTTTGTCATGTCAACAATTTTTATCAGTTACCTAATTTATTTTAATTGGATAAAATTGATGAGTTGATGCGTTTAATAATAATTTTTTTAAAAAAATTTAACGTCTTAATAATTTTTTTATAAAAAATTGTGGACATATTTTACCCTCTTCCTATAGTTTAAAAATAAATAAATACGTGTAGCATAACTTTAAGCAAGTTTTACCCTACTTATATATTTTATTATTTATATCAATATTTTAGAAGTTTTCCATAATTTATTAACAACAAAATATGGAACAAATTTCCACAATTTATAAATTTATGGAATAAGGGTTAAATATGCCATCCAACTGCACCTGATAATACAATTAGGCCACTGAACCCAAAAAATTAACAATTGAGTCCCTAAACTAACCAATTCCTAACAATTCATCCAATTTGAAGGTTTATAACAGGTCAACAACCAACTTAATTATTTTTTAAAAATAAAATTTAAAAATTAATTATTAAAAAAAAAAAAAAACAGAAACGGCCGGAGACGAAGAAACTTCTCCACAAAGAACTAATAACGCCTCCACTGAGGCTTGAGAACTCACAACCTTTCAAATGGAAGTCCAATCCGGATACCATTAGACCAAATAGTCTTGGTTAGTTTAGGGACCCGATTGTTGATTTTTTAAGTTCAGTGACCTAATTGTATTATCTTGTGCAGTTCAATGGCGTATTTCATCCTTATTCTTAAATTTATTGAGAATTTGTCTTTCCATTTCATATAGGAACAAACGGTTCAAGAAAATTTTGGAAGGCAGAAAGAGTTTGGACTATTAAGACAAGGGAAAAAACGAAGCAAATGGGCTACCAAAAGCGTGAAAAGTATGGCAGAAGAAGAAGCGGCTGTGACTATGTCACCACCCTTTAAAATTTTTCTTCTATATTCTCTCTCTCTCTCTCTCTCTCTTCCAGTGTGGAATCAAATAGAAACAGTGAATGGCAAGAACAAGCATGGAGGGAGGCTTAGTGGAGGAGAAGGCGGCGGAGCTCAAGAAAGAGTTGCAGAGGGCGGTGAAGGCCATCGTGGATGAAGAAGACGACGGCGGCGACTGTTCTGTGGGGTCCACTAACCGAGCCATGCAGTGTTTGTGTGCTCTGAGAGATTTAAAGTTGAAGCCTTTGGGTTGTTCTGATTCTCTGGGTATTGGGAATCTTTCGTTGGGTTTCTTTCCTCCCAAAGAATTTCTATGCCCTCTCTCTGGGGAACTCATGAATGACCCTGTTGTCTTGTCATCTGGCCAGGTTAGACTAGTTTTCTTTAGTAATGATTTCCATCAAATTAGCACTGCCCAGACGTTAATTACTGGAGAAATTGAAGTGCATGGTATACAGCAATTAGAATGAATTAAGGTTTAGTGTGGTTGGGTTGTTTCTTAAATGTTTTTCTTAGTTTTTTTTTCTCCTGATCAGAGGGCATGTATTTTTTGCAGTCTTGGAGTAGATCTTGTTCTAGTTTGGAGATTTTTGTGTCCAATTTGCTGTGTGTGTGTGTGTGACAGTGGTTTTGGGGTGGGGGTAGTTTAATCTCTATAACTCTATTGTTTACTTTCAATTATAATCTTTGTCCACAAAAGGTAAAATTCCTTGCTCCGGACCCCACAAAAGGCGAAATTCCTTGCCCCAGACCCCACAACAGGCGAAATTCCTTGACCCGGACCTTACAAAAGGTGAAATTCCTTGCCCCAGACCTCACAAAAGGTGAAATCCATTGCCTCGGACCCCATAAAAGGCGAAATTCCTTGCCCCGGACCTTACAAAAGGTGAAATCCCTTGCCCCGGATCCCACAAAAGGTGAAATCCCTTGTCCCAGACGCCCACAAGATTGTGAAGGGGTAAATCACGGTGACTCAGTAGTCAGTGCCGAGGATTATGTGGTAGACTGGTAGGATCAATGCCTGTTCTCATAAAGAACCATCCCACAAGAGGGTGAAACTCCACACTGCAGCTGCAGGACTCGATCCAGCGTTCTTACCCACAATTTAACACTTAAGAATCAACTGAATTATCCGTGCGAGCTTTCAATTATAATCTTGACAATAGCAGTGCAATACTAGGTTTGAAGTATGCTGCTTTGATAGTCCAAAGTCATGAAGACCTCAGCTTCATGATATTGAAAGTCTTTCTTAAATTTGGTTTCCATTTGGCTGTTATTGATGCTAATGCCCTTGAGGGCGTGGTTTGATTTGCAGACATATGATAGGCCATTTATCGAAAAGTGGCTGAAAGATGGGAATCAGACATGCCCTCAGACGCAGCAGATTCTTTCCAATATGGTCCTCCTACCAAACCATCTAGCAAGAAAATTGATTTCAAAATGGTGCGAGGAGCATGGTGTGGAACTCCAATTTTCTCCTCAAATTGAAGATGAGCGGGCAATCTTAAAGGCAGATTCTGGGTATTTGAATGCACTGCTCAAAAAGCTCTCGTCTTCTTCTGTATCTGATCAAAAAGAGGCTGCTAAAGAGCTTCGGCTGCTCACAAAACGGATGCCATCTGTTAGGGCTCTTTTCGGTGATATTTCTGATTCTATTACCCAATTGCTTTATCCACTGCTGTCTGGGGCTGCTAACTCTCACCCTGATTTACAAGAAGATTTGGTGACGACCGTTCTGAATATCTCCATACTTGATGGCAACAAAAAACTAGTAGGAGAAAACCCGGTTGTCATTCCTTTGCTTATAGAGTCTCTGAAATCCGGGAACATTGAAACGAGAACAAACGTTGCTGCCACTCTCTTCACGTTATCAGCCCTCGATTCAAACAAGTACATAATCGCAAACTCGGGAGCTCTCAACCCATTGATCAAACTACTAGACGAAGGGCATCCAATGGCCATTAAGGATGCTGCTTCAGCCATTTTCACCATCTGCATTGCCCACGAAAACCGGGGCAGAGCTGTCTCTGAAGGCGCTGTCCGGGCAATCATGAAAAAGATCAAAGAACACGTCCTCATCGACGAGTTATTAGCCATTCTCGCAATGTTGTCCAGCCATCACAAGGCTGTCGAGGAGATGGGGGAACTCGGGGCAGTCTCTTGCCTCCTTGGTTTAATGAGGGAGAATGCCAATGAACACAACAAAGAGAACTGCATAGCAACGGTGTACACACTATGCTTCACTGACCGAACGAAGCTGAGAGAGGTGTGGGCAGAAGAACACGCGAATGGGACCATTTCCAGGCTCGCGAAGAGCGGAACTTCCACTTCGAGGGCCAAGAGAAAGGCAAGCGGCATCCTTGAGCGGCTAGACAGAACTGCGTTTTTCGCTCACACTGCTTGAACCTTGAACATTGAGTTTCAAGAAAATTAAAGGTGTGTACTTTCCAGCATTTCCAGTATATAGTCTTGAGACTTGGATTCCAATACAAAACAAACTGCAGATCATGTATTCCTTGTTAACTTTCACACTTGTACATGTTTGTAGCAATGGTGTATAGCAGGGACAAAATTACAGTTGATAATTATATAGATATAAGTATCTGCATAAAACAAAATGGATGAGGGAGTGACAGTTATGCAACGGTCAGGGGTAAAAAAGTAATTTCCCAAAATAACTGAATTAACTACTCGATCTTGTCAGCTGATCTGAGTTATGTATATCTAGTCTTCTTGGTTGCATTGTTGTTCCCTTAGCCCACCCAATTCGTTACAGGCAAGACCAAGCTAGCAATATGGAGAGAGGCGTAGAGGAAAAGAAGGGGGCGGAGGAGCTTAAGCGGTATAGGGATATTTATGTATTTTAAACACATTTCATAAGTTTATTCTTTCAGTGAACTAAACAATAAAATACAATTCTTTGCCTATTTTATTCCCTATGGAATACTATTTCTATTCCGTTAAAATTTATTTCGAGAACCAAACATGTTGTAAAGTTGTGTGCATTTTCAGCACGTAATACTCTCTCTTTCTTTCTTTCTGTAAGTATATAGTCACCAAATTTGTCGAATAATTCGCTTGATAACTATATGATTTCAAATTTGACTTTATTTATTGTTATTCATAGATCATAGTTTGAGCTGGTTAGTTATTGATAACATAATGAGGTAAATGCGGATTGATTCAACAAAGAAAATCAATATGTCACTCCTAACTCCTAAGAGTCGAATTTTTTAACTTTGTGGTTACTAAGTCAATGGTCTTATCAACTTGGTCGGAACTATCCTACCTCTTTGTGATCCTTTATTGGTTAGAATCGCATGATAGACTACTTATATCTCTTTAGTATTATATGTATTATTGAGAACATTCTAATAAATTGATTCATATAACCTAAAATATAACCCTTAACTAAACAATGTAATATTATATTTCATGATTCAAACTAAATATAAATGGGGGGTTTGGTTCAGGTAATTTTAATCCGAGATAAAAGGCTGATATTTCACTTGTTATCCAAACAAAAAAAAAAAAAAAAAAGAGTAGATACTTTACTTAGTTTACAAAAGTTTAATGACCGATTGTCGAAGCTACTCTACTAATATTATTCTTCCTTTAAATTTTAGGGATGGTATATAAGTTTTTTTGCGTTTAAATTTTACCAAATTTTCTAGAACCGTTTTGAGTGTGGGACTACATGTGCACAACTTGGCATGGCTTATATTCCTCCGCACAAGCGCCATTCGGAGAGCTCACCGGCGCCGGAGTCTCTTTTGATCCCCCAGTTTCAGAGGAATCTAAACTTGCGCGACGGAAAATCAACCGGCAGGAGTGCTCGGAAGGGCAAGGATTCGGGAGCTGGAAGTAAAATTATTTATGCAGACACCGCGATTTCTAAGTGGTTCTCGGTCGGCTTGCTCGACTCAGATGGATCGTCGTCCTTTTCAGCTCTCACCAGGCTCGAACCCGTATCAGTGGAATTCCTCGAGAGGAAATTTGGTGAAAAGCCCTTAGCGTTGGTTCTAAAAGGTATTATAGTGTATCCTACCTGCCCTCCTTACCACACTATTTGATCTCTATATTTCAAACAGGAATTGCAACCAAAGCATTACGTATAACTAATTGTGCCTTAAGAATCGCTTTAAGCATAGCATATAGTGTTGTGGAACTGCTTAGTATGGCGTTGGATTATTGATTTACGGCCTTGTTTTTTCATACTGTTATGCCATAGAAGATGCTGGTGAGAGAGAAGCTGTGTTTGTGGACAAACCGTGGGTTTGCGTGGCTGAAAATGTGAAGCGGGACTTGCTTTCATCATTTCAAAGGGTGAGAAATGAAATGGTTGAAAATGCACGTGAAGAAGTAAAGCCAAGTCTAGTTGCCCGTATTGGAAGAATTCTGTTTCATGGGTTAGTGCTTTGGAGTTTTGATTTCAAGGATTTGTCTACTGTTTGTGTGTAATGAATGTGTTCAAAAGACATTACACTATGCTATGCTTCTTTCTTTGTTTCAATAAGTATCATTTGATTCAAGTTATGAGTTTTCACTTTTCAGTATAACATCTGTTTTCTGATTCAGAAACATCTAGATTCATTTTTTGCAATCTTTTCTTCTATTGGAACAAGACTTTGTATTTAATAGTTAATCCTAATATCTGCCTTTCATGTAATTGACCCGTCTAATTTGAAGTTTCAAGATGAAAAATAATGTCATTAAGTTAATTTTATGGAATCTGTATCCAATTTTCCAATTGTTGAGTCAACTTATTAGAGTATGCATTCCCTCAGTGAAATTTTATGTATTGGTGCAATGACATGTTGAGATTCATTGTTTTGTACATATGCCTCTCTTGGAAAAACACATGACTATTCCAAAATGTTTCTGATGCAGGAACCCTTCATCTTTAGAATGTGTGAGAAGAAACTTGTTAACTGAAAGCAGTTTGAGAACATTGAAAAAATCCTTTTACACTAATGTTCCTCCTACGTATATGGAACATGTAACAAACAAAATTGTTCAAGAAATTGGACTTAATGTTGAGGAAGATAAGGAGATCTACCATGTGAAGGTACTCCTGTCTGGCTGTTACAGCTTCACCGGACTTTTTTCAAGTACATTTTAAGTGAATTACTTATTCAGTTATTCTGCTATTCTGCTTATGCTGTGTGTAGATTTCTGATAACTTTCGACCTGATTCGACTATCTCCTGTAAATGTCATGTGGGACATGATAAAAAAAGCATTGAACTCTACAAGGCAAGTTTCTACTTCTAGTCCATGAAAGTATATGGGTAATATGTTAGTTTGCATCAATATTTTTGTGAGTCAAAAAGAATTTTTATTATGTTAGTAACTCTGGTGCTGAAGAAGTTATATAATGCAAAGCTTTTGTTTTATTTGGTCTGTCCAAATCAAAACATATATGGAGTATGACTTTAATGTTGATGCAACCACCATGGATCAATTTTCAACTTGCTTCACTTTTTGAAGTCTCATCTTTATAATTTCCCCTCCCAGATTGAACTAAACCAAGTGCGCCACATGGTTGAGGACATATCCTGTCTTGGGAAGAGCCTAGATCTAAGGCTGATGCTCTGTACCAAGAGAATCATGATAGCTTTGACTGTAAGTCCTTTATCCTTGCTGAGGACTTGAACTGTTAAATTGTTGATCTATTTGCGTTTTTAAAAAAAAATAAAAATAAAAATTGGTTCTCTCTCTTTTGTTTCAACAACACATTGGAATTTCACTGTCCATACTTCTTTCGATTTTTAATTTGGTTCTGTTTTTGGTTTCTTCTTCTTTTCATCTTACTTCTCCTGGATATTGTTAATGCCATGATCTGGAAAACCCTTCACATGTTTCAGAATGACGAAATAGATGGCATAAAAGCTCTAATTTCTTCTGCCGTTCTGGATTCGGATGTTAAGGGTGGGCTTCGATGGCCCCTTGGGAAGAATTCTTCGGGAGATCGATACACCATAGTTGGTGTATGGCATACTAATGCAAAAACATATAGAAATTCATCAATCAGGCTTAAGGTTCGACATGCAGATCGATTTGATTTCAGAACTTCATCTGGTGAGGTTGCAGGAGAGGTTACTCTGAAATTGCATGGAATTGTATCCCAAATACAGGTAAGATTTTGTTTCATGACAGCAACTCTACAGTTTACATATTGCTACATTCCTTGGGTGGAAGCTTAATCCTTTCAGTCTGCATTATTGTGCATAAGTACACTAGCAACCACATTATAGCATTTTTAGCAATATAATAGTGACTCCACTATAAAACACCTCTAGAGCAAAGAAAACCTCTTCTTATTCAGTTAAAGAAATGCCACACTTGCTATCACCCTCTCGGTCGAGCCCATTACACAAGGTTTTCTTTGTGCAATTTATCTCTCCTATGTAGTTTGTGGGCTATTATTAGGAGCAAGGTTGCCCCAATGCACACCCTTAAGTAGTGATTGTGGGTTTCCCTCAAATAAAATGCCACACTTTTTTGGTCTTTTAACTAACCATAAGATTGAAGCTTGGTAATTTAGATAAAGGTAATGCATGGCGTGTGTTTTGTCACTGTAACTTTTTATGCAAAAATTTTCCTGCTATTACATAATTTAATTTGTTTTGTTTTTATTCTTCCAAAAGGCTGAACCCCAACCCTAAGGGCCCCCACACCCTGACCCGACAGAATATTAATTTGTTTTGTTTTTATGCTATTTGAAATGCAGGATCAAACATGCGAAAATGACCCAGTGTTCCAAATGCTTGGAGACAACATAAAGTTGATTTGGGATCACTTTCTGTGTTCTGGTTCTTGTATCTGAACTGCACTCCATATGGTCTGTGCTAGCTTATCAATGTACATATCAATAACCTGGGGGTGTAATTGAGTGGAAGGGACTCATCTATTCTTAATCAAAGGTCAAGATCCTTGGCTTTGGGTGCCTACAATCCAGCAGCGAGGGGATTGGTCACTGTGTCCGACGGTGGGGAAATATTGAGTATACCCAAAAAAATCAATGTACATATCAACAGATTGCCATTACTCATTTACTCTGTCGAAATTAGCCTTCATAAGATAAGAAATATTTTCTTTTTAAAATTTTGAAGGTATCCCAATCTCCCTCAAAAAAAAAAAAAACAAAAACAAAACAAAACAAAAACAAAAACAAAAAACAAACAATTTACTCACTAAGATATGAAAAAGGTTAAATGACCTTCTGCAGCGAGTGCATTTGAATTTCTAACTAAAAAAGCTGCAATTAATTCCTTTAAAGACATAAAAAAGTGCAGGATCTAAATTTTGGCCCTGTTTGGTAAAATGGCTGTTAGCTGATAGCTGATAGCAGTTAGCTGATTGTGTTAATTAGAGGGTATAAATAGTTGATAACATTAGTTGATTGAAGAAAAGTGTTTGGTAAATTAGCTGTTAGCTTATAGTTGTTTGGTATAATTTCTTTTATCAAAAGGCTAATTGAAAAAGTTACTTGGAGTAGCCTTTTGAATTTTAGCCTTTTGGAGTTATAAAAAGCTAATTAACCAAACATTTATATTGATATTTAACTAAATCAAACAATTAATAGTGGTCAAATAGGTCAAAACTAGCCTATAGGCCAATTTTTTACCAAACAAGACCAATTATATATTCAACCATTTACCGCTAGTTTTATTCAACACTTTTCAATTAAAAGCTTACTTACACTCATCGCTAGGAAGACCGCTAGGAAGACCGGTTCTTTGTCAGAGTGTTCTTTTTAAATTTTTGTCACAAAAAAACTTAATTACACTATTTACTTAATGTAGGGACTTATTAGCTCTTTTTTATGGCCACAATAGTTTTCAGTTTGGTAATGGGCATAGTTTATGAGGACTCTGCTTGAAAAATGTTTCCCTGCAGCCTTGTTGACACCTTATTAACCATGGAAGTTGCACATTGGACTAATGAAGATAAACATTTTTTTAAAAATAATAAAAAAACAAATTAAATACACAAAACCTTATGTATTTATGTTAAGGTTGGGTATTCATTTATCTAACGCATGTCTATTTACCAGTTATTACAGTGCGCTTTAATTTGATTTCCGCATGGAAGAAAACAGGGCAGTGGCAGTGTTATTGAATCCTGAGCCGTCATCATTCTGGTCCTTCAATCTTCACTGTTCGAAGACCGAGAGATCATATTCAGTAATGTTTTCGTGGCTTGGCCAACAGCGTGAGAAGTCTTCTTGGCTGCCCCAGCAACAACTGGCTGCAAAGATATGGTTGGCAGGCTTGCTCTCTCCTCGATCATTGCTAATTAATTCAAAGAGCAAAATGAGATTGGTATCAACCGATATGGTACATTCTAAAAATAGGAAGTATTTATATGATATTGTAAAAGATGTGCACATACTCATTGTTCGCTGGTGGGCAAGGGAACCTATTTGTCTCACCCCAGCTTCTGCCGCTTGCACAGCTTGAGCAGATTTGCTGACACCGTCTGCAATCTCTTTGCTGAGTTCCAAATCAATAAACCGCATTACTATCTGAAGAATTATTTATTACTCCATAGTCCATACATAATAGCTTGAAAAGAACAAGGAAATTGAATACTTGACAATAGATAGAAATTCATGCATAGCATTATAGCAACATTGTTACATACATTGCCCAACTTATTAGGGGCTTCTATTAGTCAATTATATGCTTTCCCACAAAGAAACCATTTTTAACTGTGATTCTGATTTGACAAAGGGCTAAATATTTCACAATACATAAACCAGTTCACAAGCACATAGATAGAAATTCATCCCACCATTACATACATTGCACAACTTATTGGGGCTACTATTAGTCAATTATATGCTTTCCCACAAAGAAACCATTTTTAACTGCGATTCTAATTTGACAAAGGGCTAAATATTTCACAATACATAAACCAGTTCACAATCACATAGATGGAAAGTTCAGGAAGTCCACTACTATGACCAGCATACTATTGATTTCAAAGATTTTAAAGTATACAGCATAACTGAAGTCTTTCGGCTTTAGAGGAGAAGTTTTAGAGTACACTAAAAGCATTAAGAGTAAACTAATTTCTAACATGGTTTGTATGACCTTACCTTAGATCACTCAATTCTAGAGTAAGGTCACTGATCTCCATCCCAGAAAGCCTAATTGCAGCCATTGTACTAGGAAGCTCCTCACGAGCAGTGTCAGCCAACTTTGAAAGAGAAATTGCTGCTCTTCGCATCGCCTACAGCAGATTGAGATAATAGAGGTTTAAAATCATGTACCCTCTCAGCTAATCATTGAAGTAAATTATGTCTGTAAGAAAGAGCACAATGTGTAAATTAGGAAATTGCATCTAATCTCAGAAAACAAATGTTTCAGCAGTAAGCACCTTACTTTTCAAGGTTTCTTTTTTTTTACCTAATTGACACTTCAAACCCCAAGCATCTATACACTAGAAATAATTATCAATGCCAAGAAATCAGGACTCATGTAACTCGAAACTCTCAAAAGTTTTAAGTAGTTCAAAGAACAACGAACTTCTTGTTGATTCATAAAGCCCAAATCAAAACATTACCTTGGTCCAAAATCTTATCTTCTGATACGAGGGCAGTTATAGTTTCATTAATGGTGAAGAAAAATAAGAGGCTCAAAGAATTGCATGTATTGGACCTTTTAATGGTCATGTCACTGACTCACTTCTCTTCCTTTGCATCCACCCACTCAAATAAATTAGTTTGAAAAGCTTATAGGATTATAGCCATGATTACAACTATAATTCTCTAACTTCTAAGATTTTCTCTTTCAACACTATTGAGCCATCCACTAATTACAAACCCCACAAAAGGCTTCGCCCTGCATCGTCAAGGGCAATGGCAATGGGCACTGAATTGAAATACATATAAAATCTAACATCTGAACTTTCTTTCCAAGTAGATTGTAGATTTTGTAGATAACCAAACAATCAAAAACATCAATTTTGTGAAATTCAGAGAATGGATAGTCATAAAATACTCCATAAGAGCGTATCAACAACAACAAAATCATCATTTTGCTTTCCTAATAAACCTTCAAATCATGTATCCAACTAGATTACTAGAAGAATGGATGCCGAACAGGAAACTTACAAATAGCGTTGGTACAGCTGCAATTACCAGGCTCGTAAACGCCACAGAAGTCTGCAATTGATAGTAGTTAGTATTATTTCAACCAGTAAAGAGAAAGTAAATTTGAAATGCGATCATTGAATAGACAGAACAAATAATACAATCGCCATGCAGAAAGGGGAAGACCTACTGTGAGAGCGATGAAGGAAAAGAGGAAGAAAGCTTGGTCGCTTAAGCTCAATTTGGGAGCAGAGATGAAGCTCCGAGAAATGGTGGGAATTCCCACTTGCGTGTTCAGTGAACCATCCTGCGACTTTGGAGAAACGCTGGTGTTCTCCGATTGTTGATACGTCGACGTTTCGACGCTGTCTCCGCCAACAACCGTCGGCGAAGATTTCGATGTGGAAGCAGATACGGAGACGCGTGACGGTTTGGAGGAATCATATAGTCTGAAAAAGGAAGCGGAGGATGAAGATGGATTCCGGAAATACGACGCCGTTCTGTGGTTTGGGTAAGCGAATACCCGACCGGAGTAGGTCGCCGGAGAAGACAAACCGGCAATCAGTCTCATGACTACGCTGAAACTCTCTTGACCTACTGCCATTTTGTTCATGTAAACTTAAATTACGGTTTTGTCCATATCTTTTTGCTAATTACATTTATGCCAAGACAAAACTACAAGTGTTTCGCCCAGGCCCAAAGGACTTGGACCCAATAGTGGGCTACGAGGCCCACAATTGTGGCCCTTGTACTTAAATCCCACGTGATAAATTATGGCAAATTATTATGTGGACTCGATTCACCTTGCAAAGTGGACTTGAGTTAAAAAAATATACAATTTAATACTGAATGTTCACAATTTACATATTACATGTTCACAACTCAAATTGTGAATATTAAGTGCTAGACATTGCAAAGTGGACCCGAGTTCAAGGTATAATTGTTGATAAATTATTCAAGTTTTGCTTTTCCATCTTTAGTTGGTTACTTCACCAAAAAGAAACCAATTTAGTTCTAAATCTTTTGTCATTGATAACAATATCCTCAAATTCATCAAATTGATGCAAAATTGAGATCTCAAATTAAATAAGAAATCTTTAATGATTTCGTCAAACGATCATGTGAATATCGATCCAGATACAAACGCTTCATAAACTTTCAAAATATATTGTGACTTAATTATTAAGTAATTTTTACTTATTAAATGCATCGTTTAATTTAAAGATAATGTTATTCATATTAAAGTTTAGCATTAAATCCTATGCGTATAAGCGTTGCTTAATTCAAGAGTTTTTGCTTGAGCTTATAAGTTTTCAAACGCATTGGATAAAAGAAAAAAAAAACATTTTTAAATAAAGTATGACAAAAGTAGGTATGACTACTTTCTCACTATGTATGGATGAAAACTTGTTATGTAATCTCTAATTATAATAAAATAATAATGAAAAAAATTCACATAAAACATGACTAGATTAAACTAATATTGTTTGCGTATAATCGATTAAAAGAACTTCAATCATATGAAGGCCAAGTTTTAAACCATTAAAACTAATTATCACTAGTCAGTATGCATATTTGGATTAAAAAAAAAAAAAACAGAAACACACATTAGAAAAACACGCATGACTAAACAAATAGAGAAAACAGAAACAATAATTTTCCTTATCCTTAAATTAAACACATTTGCGTAACACATTTATTAAATCCTGGTCAAAATGTAACGAAGAAATTAATTTTGTATAATTTCAAACAAACAAAAAAATCAAATTTATTTCAAAGCTCTAACCATATGAATTATTCTTATTTTAATCAAAATATTGTTTTGGTCACCTATCTATAAATAGTGAGAAAATATAAGTGATTGTGACATTTTTACCATAAATAACGACAATAACAAAAGTTATAGTTTAACTAATTTTGTTTTTCCTTTTTTAAAATTGAAGATATGATATTAGAAAAAAAAAAGTTTTTTGTTTTTAAAGAAAAAGAAAAAGCTGACGTGTCCATCGCAAAACTGACGCATGTACGAACAATCTCCGTTTAAAAAAAGTGGGGCCGGTCAAATGAGTAAGGTAAGGCTTCCTTCTTTTCTTACTCACTGCGGTTAGACGTTCCACCAAATCTCAAAAAAGGTTGACTTTTATTATGTATTATTATTATTTATTATCCAAAAGAGCAAAAAGAAGAAAATAAAGGAAGAACATAAAGAGAAAGGAGAAAACGCATGTTACTACTTACTTCCTACTCCATACTGCAATTTAGCCTTCGTGGCTAAGCTTCCTTTGTGGGAAGTAATCCATATTTCATATTAAATATTTAATTCTCGGATTAGGTGGTGGAATTAAATGTAAACATGTAATTAGTACATTGAATTTGAAAACATAATTGATTCTTTGAATATGGAAAAAATTAATTACTACATTTCTACCTTTTTATCTTTTCTATTTAGTATTTATTGATCAAAATTATTTATTTAGTTATTTATTTTTTGTAGTAATTTTTTGTGTGTCTGTATTAGGATTTTTTAATGTAACTTCTAACTATATAAATTATATATATTAATACTAAACTTGATATTATGAATAATTGAATTAAAAATCACTTCAGTCAAACTTCGTTAATTGAACCATACATATAAAATGAGACGGAAGGAGTAGTTAATTCTTCAGGTAATTATTTGACAATTGAATTAATTGGTATATGACATGATTTTATTTATTTATTTATATCTGATTGCTTATATGTATGAAAATATTGATTATCAACAATAAAAACTCCGCATCATAGCTATTATCTAATGTGTCCTGAGCTGGTTATTAATGAAAATTTAGGCTAATATATAATACGTGTGTTAGATCTACAAATATGTGTTGTTTTCAGGACCATATCAATTAATCGATTTCACATAATATGAAGTTTTACAATACATATCAATGACTGAAACAGTATGATATATAACATACATTTACATATTGTTGAGACTGTTAATTGACGCAATATTTTATGCTAATATAAAATATGGCGTTTTAAAGAGTGGAGATTGTAAACTTCATATCAAATATAAATATACGGAGATAATTATTATTAAGACTTGTCTTAAAAGTTAAAATTATCGATACAATTAAATGTATTATGAAATTTGTAATGAAGACCTAACATTGGACTCAAAGCGACCCCACAACCCCACCTATCTTGTCCGTAGTACCTAATTTGTGTTGCTTAGAGACGAATTAATTAATTAAATTATTAAATAAGAAAATTAAAGTACAAAAGGAGGATCACTATTCACTAGAGTTTAGAGATAGGAAGCAGCCATTGGCTGTTGAACTTTCCAGTGAGCCCTCCCGCACGTTAGATTTTCCCCAAAACTCCAAAAGCCAGTATAACACCCTTTTGGAAACAAACTAATGCCATGGTTTGATGATATTAGTGTCATCATTTTAAACGGAAGGTAATAAATAAACAAATATATATATATATATATATATATATATATATATATGTTTTGGTTCATGTGAGAACATGTCTTTCTGTGCCGTCAGTGCGGCATACACTATTAGTTATGCATAAATCCACCTTACAGTGTTCGAGAATATACCAAAATGAAATGTCAAAAAATGCACCACAAAAAAAAAAAAAAATACACCACACATAATGCTGTATTTTCAAACACTATATGATGCATTTATGCATACCTAATGGTGTATGCCGCACTGACAGCACGGGAAGACCTGTTCTGACAGGAACCTGACCCTATATATATATATATATATATATATATATATATATATATATATATCTATGATCAAGTGAGAACAAGTCTTTAGCAGAAAGTAAGAACTAATTTCAATTGAATTTAGAGTTTATGACTGAGTTTTTGATTTTACCAAGTTTCGGTGAGAAAACACTAAAGTGTCTTCGGAGATTTAAGGGTACCCCTCCACACGATCCAACAAAAATATTACCTACTCACAAGTTATTGCTTATATGATACTAGCGGTGTGTGTAAATGTAATTTTTTAAAATAATTAATTTCACTTTTGGTCCCACGACTTTTGAGTTCTTATCACTTTTGGTGCACAACTTTAAATTTTTTCAATATTGGTGCCTAACTTTGTTATTTTTATCAGTTTTGGTCCTTCCAGCCAAATTGACGGTAAAATATTTCCGGATTTTATATTTTAGGGGCAAAATCGTCATCACATGGAAAGATCTTCAATATTTAAACAAAAGAAAAATCATATTAAGAGGAAAAGAAGAGTTTTCCAATGGTCGAAACTATAAATCCCATAGATCTGTCTGGTTTCTGCCCATCTTCCCCATTATTCTCATCATCAAACACCTATAGATATGATTTTACGGTGATTTTGTTTAGATATTGAAGATGTTTCCTTGGGATGGCGATTTTACCCCTAACAATATAAAATCCAGCAACATTTAGTTGTCAATTTGGCCAAAAGGACCAAAATTAATAAAAATAACAAAGTTATGCACCAAAATTAAAAAAATTTAAAGTTGTGCACCAAAAGTGATAGAACATCAAATGTTGTGGGACCAAAAGTGAAATTAATTCTTTTTTAAAATACGATGGTAATTTAGTTTGACACATCAACTAATTTTGAATCAAAACTTTTTAAAATTTAAATAAATTACCAAATCGGTGTCAATTTTGTATCATTTCGAGAATATCATAAGTAAGTTTGTTTATCGTAATTATGTGCAGATCTCAAAATAAAATTTAAAAGTAGTCATAACTGTAATATTAATATTACGATTTTGTTTCCAAAAAATAATATTACAATTTAATTGCACTATTTTATTCATTTAGATTTTTTTTTTCAAATTTTTAAATACAAAATTCAATTACACTATTCTTTAGAAGTGTATTTGATATTTAAAAAAAAAAAAACAAAAAAAAAAAAAACAATGCATTTTAACCGCCACCTGGTATAAATATCCTACGTCCTGCGTTAAACGTCCAATATTCGGACTTAGCCATACGTGGGGAACTCCGAACGCGAAACGTAGTAGCTTACCGACAATACAACGGAAACCTCACTATCCAATTCTGTAATGGCGGTGGTGACCGGCGGCGTTATCAGCTTTGAAGTGCTCCCGGAAGATTGCATCGCTAACGCGCTGTCCTTGACGAGCCCCGAGGACGCTTGCCGCCTCTCACTGGTGGCCTCCGCCTTCTACTCCGCCGCCCAATTCGACGCCGTCTGGGAGCGCTTCCTGCCCGCCGATTACCGCGACATCATTTCCCGGTCCGGTGACGCCGCCGATTTGCTCGCGTCCGCCTCCAAAAAGGATCTCTACTTCCGTCTCTGTGATAACCCCATCCTTATTGACGATGGCACCAAGGTAAATGTTTGATTTTTGTTATTGTAGATAGACAGGGGACTTGAATATTTGATCCAAGTAGTAAAATTCAAATGTTTGTTGAAATTTTTTGATAAAACATGAGATTTTTTTTTTTTTTAAACTTTATTATTATTTGTTCACTTTTGCTCACAATGACCATGATACTATTTTTCACATTTTGATCGTACTATTATTATTATTATTATTTTTTTAATTTTTATTTTGGTTTTAATTTGGTCTTTTAAATTCTTATCACATTTATCCCTTAGTGTCTGATTATGGCTGGTTAAGCAGAGTTTTTCACTGGAGAAGAAGAGTGGGAAGAAATGTTATATGCTGGCTGCAAGGTCCCTCAAGATTGTGTGGAGTGACACACCCAGATACTGGCAATGGATTTCTCTTCCTGAATCCAGGTACTACAAGTAAAAATGATATGCTTTTTCTAGGAAAATTAGACGTTTATTCTCAAACAATTTAGTTGGTTTTTGAGTGACGAATTGTCAGGATGACACTTGATTGAGTCCTAATAGTAGCAGTGTGCATGTGAGCACCCGACATTGGTTACCCACCTAATGGACACCTGAATCACCAATTTACTCTTCCACAACCGTGAAAGCCTAGGGCGAGAAAATTTTACCTTTTAAGCACAAGAAAATAAAATAAAATGAACTTGATTTTGTTTCAAAGCATCACTGTCATTAACAGTGGAAAAGAAATGGAGAAATGATGGTTTAATTTTGTTCCTTCGACTTAACTAGGTTCTGTGAAGCTGCTGAGCTTTTAGATGTGTGCTGGCTTGAAATTTGTGGCAAGATAAACAGCAGCATGCTGTCTCCCAACACAAACTATGCAGCTTACCTTGTGTTCGCGCTGCAACCGAGAACCTATGGTTTTGAATACCAGCCGGTGGAGGCCTCAATCGAGATCAATGGACACGAGGCGCAAAAGAGGACTGTTTATTTGGATCACCAAAGAGAGCAGAAAGAGAGGTACGCGGTTGTACAAAGGCGGATAGGGATATTCAATCACCGCATCACCCATAGAATGAGACAGCGCGAGAACGCTGGGTACTCCAAGGAGAGAAGTGATAAATGGATGGAAGTTGAGGTGGGAGAGTTTTTTGTCAAGGATGGACCGGATTCTGAGATAGCTATGTGTTTGATGCAGATCAAAAGCCATTGGAAGAGCGGCGTGATTGTTCAAGGGATTGAGGTTAGGCCAAAGGAGGATAAATGAATAGTGTTTTATATATGCATTCTTTGTGATGATGATGATGACCAGATGGATTGGAGAACCAATTCCATCTCAGAAAACAGTAGTGATTGTAAGATAGGAAGAAGGGGCATAGAGATGGTGGGAGAGGAGGATTTTGAGACTTCTATTCTGAAGCTTACACTTCTCCCCCCGTATGATTTGAACTATGATCTTATTGCAATCAGATTCATCTTTTTGTTTCATTGTACATTAATGTTCTTGGGGAGCTAATATAACCAAAGGGTTCCCAACCAAATCAAGAAATGATTGGAAAAAAATAATCAAGGGATTCCAATTCCATGATCTCAAGAAGCTAAAATCAAAGAGTTACAATTAATTGATTCTTTATGAACTAGTTGATAAAGATCTATAATCTTAGCTAGTAAAGGACCGTAACATAAATAAATCAGTCTCAAATTATGTAATTCTAGCTAGCAAAGGACCACAAAATGGTAAATCACCCTTAAATTATTTGTGACCCTAGGTCACAAAGAACTCCAAAGAAGTAAACTAATAATCCGTATTAAACTAAGACGACCAATAAATAACTCTCACAAGAATTCAAACTTGGAACTTTATTGTTATCATGCTAACTATTCGGCCAACTTGATAGAGATTATCCCAAGTCATAAACAACAGATAAAATGTAATATCATTTTACTTATTATCATACTATGACAATTTTTAGAATTAGTCAGGTTAAATTTCATAAATATGGCTCTAGAACCTAAGAATTTATTCGAAATTAAAAATTATATTATTATATTACTAGCAAAAATGCACATCAATTCTTTCTATATATATATATACACATTGAAGTTATTTTTAATTCAATTTTTCATCATATTAAATACAAAAATATAAATTTAAAATAAGTAAAAGATACTAAAGAAGAAATTAAAGAGTTAATTTGACTGATGAATAATAAGTATACAGATAAAATGAGACAGGAGAGTATATTAGAATATAAGCATAAATTATGACAAGAAGAAGGAAATTCTAAACTTGAAGTAACACAAATTGTACATAATAAAGGGTTAATAATGAAGGAGGTGACACAAATTGTACATAATAAAGGGTTAATAATGAAGGAGGTGAATTGAGAGGTGGCAAGTTTATGTGGGCATTATGAGAATTGAGAGTGAGTATCCATACGTTCCATGCGAAATCTCATCTCCATTCTCCACCCAAAAAAAATGGCATTTTTCTCTTCCATATTTTCTTCTTTCCCAAATGATTTGTCATCCTTCTCCGGTCCTCTCTCCCTCCTCTCCCAAAGGGTCCTTCGATCTTCTTCCCGGAGGACCCTTCTTCCCTCTCCCCGCCATCGCCGTCTAATTCCTTATCCGGCCGCCTGTACGCAATTAATCATTGACGTCATACAACAACATTGTTTAACGCTAGCTGCATTTGCGTATTTGAGTTTGCGTGATCTGATCTGATCGTCTTCATAATATAGGTGTTGAATTTGATGATGCCGTGAGAATTGAGATGATAATATTGAGAGTTTTTCACTTTTTTTCTAGCTGATCGGCGTCTGATCTTCACTTGCAGGAATTAAAAACCGCAGCACAGGATCGAGAAATGAGCTGCTTCCCATGTTTTCAAAATAATCAAAACGTAGCCGACAAGGAGCAGCGGGAGCAGCTCCCCGTCGCTCAGCCGAGAGAGCTCGATACCGCGGACGACGGCGCTCCCAAGCAGGGTACTAATTTTTGAATTTTCGCCTGCAATTATGTTGTTGTTAAGGATAAATGTGAGGTAATGATTAATTCGGATTGTATGTATATATGGCAGAGGCTAGTGCGGCAGCGCCACCGGGTGACGCCGCGGCGGCCAAACAACCGGCCCCGGCCGCCGCCGCAGACAACAAGGCTGAAGCTACTGAGGGCGGCGGAGATTCCAACCTCAGAACCTTCAATTTCCGAGAGCTTGCCACTGCAACAAAGCACTTCAAACAGGAAAGCCTAATAGGCGAAAGTGGATTTGGAAAAGTGTTTAAGGGAACACTTCCAGATGGCCAGGTAATCCATCTTCTGCTCACTAGTTTTCTGTGAGCATCTTAGGCTTTTAGTTAAGACGGAGCACATGCTTTAATTTGGTTTCAGAGGCCAAATTAAGAAAGCTTATTTTGTGATTACCAATTTTTGTTGGGTCTTATGTGCATAGGTTGTGGCTGTGAAGCGACTAGACAGGACAGGAGGACATGACAGCAAGCAGTTCTCTATGGAGGTCCTGAAGTTGACCCAGCTTCACCACCCTAATCTGCTAAATCTTGTTGGCTATTGCGCTGATGGAGAACAAAGACTTCTGGTGTATGAATACACTCCCAATCATAGTCTTCAAGACAATCTTTTTGGTAGGTACTTCGAAAAAGTCTACAACATTCATCATATATATATATCATGATTCTCTCAAATATTAATCCATCGAGTTATTGATATGATGATTCTGTGCTCTGAAACAATGGCCTATTTCTGTAACAAGTGCAGACCTTCCAGAGGATAAAGAGCCATTAGCTTGGCTGACCAGAATGAAGATAGCTTCAGGTGTGGCCCAAGGGCTTGAATATTTGCATGAAAAGCCCAAGCCTCCCATCATATATCGCGATTTGAAATCCTCAAGCATTTTATTGGACGAAAATTTGAGTCCTAAGCTTTCTGATTATGGTCTTGCTAAGCTCGAGGGTGGAGGAAACAACTCACTTTTGGCACCAAAAACCGGGTATTATGCACCGGAATATGAACAGACGGGTGAACTCACGTTGAAGTCAGATGTCTATAGTTTTGGAGTTGTTATGCTTGAGCTTTTATCAGGCCGTCGAGCTATGGACCCTGAAAAACCAACAGAAGAGCAAAGCTTAGTCGAGTGGGTAAGTTAGGACATACGGTGCAACTTTTTGTTACAAATAGTAAATTTTTTTGTTTATAAAACACAAAATTTCCTTATTCCCAAGTTCATATTTAAAATTAGAGTAACTCAATAGTTGTGGGAGGACACGTGCCTGATGTCACAATACAGTTGTAAGGGTTCGATTGTGTGTGTTTTATCCATAATTTACGACTCAATTTACCACTAATAACCAATTGAGTTGTTGGAGCTGGCCAAATAGTGAATTTTGTGGCAATTTTAACTTGTATTTTTCTGACATGAAGTGATTGTGGCTTTGCCAGGCACAACCCATTTTCAGGGATCCAAAGCGGTTCCCGGAAATTGTAGATCCACAACTGAAGAAGGCATATCCGATGAGAAGTTTAAACCAAGCAGTCGGCGTTACGGCCATGTGTCTGCAAGAAGAATCATCGGTTCGCCCCTTGTTCGATGATGTCATCGCCGCTCTCAGTTTCCTCGCAGTGGAGACAAACGAACCGCTCGCCTCGTCTATTCCGGACCCCGAACCTCCACCAGCAAAGAAAACTCGCGGAGAGTCCTCCTCGGACGACAGTGACGGCGAAAGCGACCGCGATCGCGACCGCGGCAGCGGAAGATACGACGACGAAAGATCAGATGCCGAAGAAGACGGAAACGGTTCAGATTACTCTGAATACACCGATGACGATGAAGGTGAAGAATACGAAGAAGAAGAAGAATACGAAGAAGAAGAAGAAGAGGAGGAGCAAGAAGAACCCTCGAGAAATAAAGACGATGCCGATGATTCTTCCGATGGAGACAGCGACAAGCTGAGTTTTTGTTACAGCGTACATATGAGATCCAACAGCATTTCGGAATCACATGATGGTGAAAGTCCCAAATCCAATTTACGGCTGGAAAACAGTTTAAAGTAATGATCCTTAGCATTCAGTGATGAAGAGAAATCTTAACGTCCAAAATATTCATTTTCTTCTTTAATTTTTGGTGGCCATCAAGGCATCGAGGCTATACATACATCCATTTTGATTCAATTCGTTAAAACATTTATTTATAAATAGGAATTTACAACTGAAAAATTAACTGCAATTTCTTCAATTCTCCGGCAAAATCTTAAATTAGATGCAATTATATTGAATTCCAAAATTATCATGTACTCTAATCTAAATGTGTGACAATGGGGCTTAAATTTTAAAAACGGGTCAAATAAACTCTAAACTTTATACCATAAATTAATTAGACGTCTAAAATTTTAAAAAAGTGCAGTTAAATTTTTAAGTATGTTATTTTGATCAAATAAGTACTTTTACTAGCAAGTCCTACATTTCGCGTTCTTCTGGAACTGATTAACTTACAAAGAAAATGTAAAGAGTTAATACCCAAAATCGTCTTCGACTATAGTGGTTTTTCTCAATTTTGTCCTAAACGACTTTGGTGACTTAATGTAGTCCCAGATTTTTGTGTTTTTACTCAATTTCGTCCCAGACTTTTGTGTTTTTGCTCAATTTAGTCCCACATTTGTTATTCCGTCTATTTGTTGTTAAATAAATAGACAATTCAGTAATTTTAATATTGGCATATCTTTATTCATAGACATGTGAAGTGCGAAATCCTTTTTTTTTTTTTTTTACGAATTACTCCCAGAATCACTTCTAAAGCTGCGAATATAAAATTTGATTCGCAGGTCTGAGAGTAACTCTGGGTGTAATTCGTGTAAGAAAAAAAGATTTCTCACTTCGGAGGTTGAAAGTAAAGAGAGGTCAATATTGATATTATTGAATTGTCCCTTTATTTAACACCAATTTGACGGAATAACAAACGAAGGACTAAATTAAGCAAAACACAAAAGTCTGGGACTATATTAGGTCACCAAAGTTGTTTAGGATGAAATTGAGAAAAATCACTATAGTCTAGAACAATTTTGGGTATTAAATGACACTTGAGTTTCATGTTGACTAATTATAAAAAGAAAATATTTTTAAAAATTTTAAGAAACTTATTTATTACTTACTTTGATGACAAAAAACAAATATCTCAAATAAGTAACGTTTTTTAAAAAAAATTATCTATTTTTAAAAACCTTCTCATTTTTGTCATTCATTTCAAAATTATAACGTGGCATTTGGGTTTGAAATGTCCTGCGGGGACGTGTCTTCCAACGGCCTCTCTCTCTTTTACCCGCGAAAAAGCGCGAAACGATTTTGCCTTGCTTGAACAACTGCCAAAGGAAAGAGAAACGAATATCTTTCCTGCTCTGTTCATACTAAAGTTTGCGTATTCCATCGTCGCCTATCGCAAATTTATTCCATTCTAGTCTCTTCTCTCAGGTAACTTCGTGGAAAAAGAGGAAGGAGAAGTGAGTGCCAACAATTAAGGTATTTTCTCGAACTTTCAGATCACACTCAATGGAGGAGTCGTCGAACAGGCGGCGTCAACAATGGTCTAGTAGCTCCGGCGAGATTTCCACCGACTTGGGAGCGGAAAAACTTGTTTACGATGGCGATGCAAATCCAAGCGAATTGCCGAGAAACAATTCCACCAGTGCCGATTTTGCCGGTACTCACTGTTGTTTGTATGTTTTTTAATTTCTAGAGCGTGTTTGGTTCTAATAGTTTTGAGATTGATGTGTTTCGAGTGGTAATTAATATCGGCAGTCATTGAGGATCCGTTTTGAATTAGAAAATGGAAGAAATAGTTGAGAAATTGAGACCGATGAAGATTTTGTGATATGTTTTTGCTGTAAATAGACGACGAAACGGAAACGAGCTAAGAAAAAGCTACAATACTGTGGTGTATTGCTTGGAGCAACCTCTTATATATGCTATTTCTGAACTATGATTGAATAAACAAATCACTTTGTAGCGTTATTTTAATCTTTGTTATAGAGTGTGGGATTCCGGAGATGGTTTTATGCCAGAGTTTATTCATGTCGTTTCATTTTTTTCCCCCTTTGTTAGAATGTAATATGCTCTGCCCAGGGCCTGTTGACAGGAGTTTGCCAGTGCATGCTATTGGAAACGTGGAAAGGCCAGCAGATACTAATCCTCCTTCAACTCAGCCTGCTAAGGACAAGAAAGGCAGACTGAACCACCGTTCTATTGGATTTCTAGGATCAAAGTTCTTTGATGAAAAACTCCCTCTAAAAAAGAAGGTTAGTCGAAAACATCCAAGAACTTCTAATTACAGTTAAGCTTCTCATATTATGTCATTGCTTAGATGCTCCTTTTAATCTCCATTTTATTGCATTTGATGTCATTGCCTAAAGGGGAGGAGGGAATTGACTAGAAGTTTTAACAGGGAAGGAATGATTCATCTTCCAAAATGATTAACTCAGAGTTTCACAGGAGGACCATAGGATTTCAACAACTCAAGTTTGACATTTTAGACACAGAAATATGAGTGTTATGGTAACGAATGCACACTTGCTTGTTTTGATGACACGTTGGAAAATGTTGCAGCTCAAATTGCTGAAACGGAGTGGTGCCGTTCAACAAGATGGAACTGTAAAATTTAAAGTCCCAGAAGATATTAAACCTGAACGTCTTGATTTTGGTACTGGAATTGTTTACAGTGGAGCTACAGGTGAAGTTACTAGTGATACAACAGATATTCAAGATTTACGTCCATTGGAAATTGTTATGCTAATTGTTGGAACCAGAGGAGATGTACAACCATTTGTCGCCATTGGGAAAAAATTACAGGTGAAATATCTAGTCGGAATACATGCTGATATTCTAGTTGATTTCAGTTTTTGTGCTATTATGAATATACTTGTGCATGCACACCAATAAGTGAATAAACAGTTCATTATTTTACAAACTGTTGTTGTTGTTACTAGAAGCACCTTGTTTTAATTTCTGAACAATGGAAGAAAACACAGACTTGCACTTAACCAAATCATGGCTTAACTGTTTCTGTTTCTACCTATGCTGCTACAACCTCAGTAATATGCTCTTTTGCAATACAATCATACATTTCATACGTCGGAACTCATAAAAATCAACACAAATTGGAACGTTCTCTCTAGCCCTAAGACTATAATATTTTATCAGAACTATTTGCAGCATCTGGTGGCTGAAAACAGGTTTTGATTGTCTGCATACGAGGCAAGTGATGTATGATGGGGAAGGGATGCATCTCTATTTTCATAGCGACATGTTTTCTTCTAACCTGTAAATAGTTTTTTTCAACTATGGGGATTTGGCTTGTCTAAAGCAGATGCTGACACATGAAGAGTGGATTATGACTTCTGACCCTCTGTTGCAGGATTTCATGCAGAAGCTGGATGGAATTTAAATAAGATTGTGACTTTAGTGTAATATTATTTACCTATCAAATAAATGGCTTAGAAGCCAACCATTTTTACAACTTTCACTTTCTATGGCATCTGTTCTATAAACAATTTTAAACCCCCCCCCCCCCCCCCCCCAACAAACTCTGTTCACATGCACAAACACACTAATAAGTTATTAAAAAGAAAGAAAGAAAAGGACACCAAAGATGTTAATCTACTGTTAAATACAGATTTCTGTTTTTTTAAGGAAGCAGCTCTTAGTTATTCAAATAATGTTTGTGTGCGAGCTTTCCTTTAATTTCCTAGTAAGAAATTCTCTTCTCATCATGTTCAGCATCCTTTCAATTAGCATTTCCAGAATCATACAAATGCAGATCATTACTTTTTAAGCTAATCTTTTTCCTGCCAGGAATATGGTCATAGGGTGAGGTTGGCAACACATTCCCCTTTCAAAGAGTTTGTCTTGGGTGCTGGATTAGAGTTTTATCCACTTGGCGGGGATCCAAAGGTCCTTGCTGCTTGTAAGTTTAGAGTCCTTTTGACTGTTGTATTATGATTCTCTTATTTTGAGTTATATTTAAGCCCATCCAGCTACTGTCTACTGACACAGTCTTGGAATATAACTCTACTCCCAAATCCCAATGTTGTTTGTGAAACAAAAGATCTTCATTTGCCCATCTAAACAAAGATCCTACTTCAAGGTGGCAAACTTACCATTACTTGGAAGTCACTATGATGGATAGAAGAATTAAGTTGTTTAAAAAAAAAAATGCAAAGTATCCTTCAACTGCTCTCTTGGTGTTTTTGAATAATGTATGCTTCATTGGTTTTCATTCCTTTCCTTCTTTCATGGTCAAAATTCATATGACTGCTATTGAATTCATAAGAATTCAGTCAATATAAATTGATATGAATGGCTGGGCTATGCAGATATGGTAAACAATAAAGGTTTCTTGCCATCTGGGCCTTCTGAAGCACAAATCCAACGCAAACAAATAAAAGATATCATGCTCTCCTTGTTGCCTGCATGTATAGAGAGTGATCCAGTATCTAATATTCCATTTTATGTAGATGCCATCATTGCCAACCCTCCAGCATATGGTAAGATCTTTTATTTTTGTTATTTTCTAATAGACATGATGTGTCATGTGTGGCTTCTTAGGAGTTGTATCAGTAACTATATTTTATAAGGCTATTTTTTATTTCAGGGCATACTCATGTTGCAGAAGCACTAGATGTACCATTGCATATATTTTTCACAATGCCATGGACGTAAGTTTTCTCTTTCTTCTCTGTGTGCATGGGAACCTTTTTTCCCTAATTCCTATCCTTATAATTTTTTCCTCATTAGCACAAAGCAGCTAACAATGATAATCTATTGGTAAAAAATACTCATTATCTACTAGTCTAAAGTGTATTTTAAAAAAATAATAATAATAAAGTTGGGTCTTATTCTTCTATTTAGAAATGGTTGTAGGAGTTTCTTAAGATATTTCACTTTCCCACTGTGTACTGCTCCAGGCCAACAAGTGAATTTCCGCACCCTCTCTCTCGTGCTACACAACCGGTTGCATACAGAGTCAGTGCTTTCATTGTGATGTGACTTATTACAAATATCCTAAGTGTGATGCATTTTTTTCCTACGTCCTTTATTTGATGACATTTAAGTTTTATTACAGCTATCATATCAAATTGTTGAAGGATTAATCTGGCTTGGAATACGAGATATCATTAATGATTTCAGAAAGAAATATTTGAAACTAAGGCCAATCACATATTTGAGTAACTCTAACAGTTCACCTACCGACATCCCACATGGGTATATCTGGAGTCCACATCTTGTTCCAAAACCCAAAGGTCATTTTTCACCTCTAACTGTTATAAATTGCTTGCTTAATTGACACTTCCATGCACATAATAGAACTGTTACGGGGTACAGTATTATTCATTTTATATCTGTGCTCATTGTGGTTACTCTTGCAAAAGAAAAAAAAAGAATTTACTATTGATTTCACTTCTGTAATTTTCTGTATTTATTTGTTGAGAGAAGGAACAGATAATTTGTGAGTTCTAGAGGTGCTTTATATTTCACGTGTTTTAGTTCCTCTTTCTTTTTTCTATATCATGTATGTCAAACACTAATCTGATTTCTTCCATTAGTCCTATCTAAGCAATTTTCTGTGATACTATTCTTTGCTTTGTTCTTCAATTGCTTTCAGTATATTCTGAGATAATCTTCAGTCTTTTCTGTTGTAGCTCAAGTTTAGTCATAGCCATGTTCACTCTTCTTCACCTGTCACATTGCAGTAGAGATTGTCTACTGTCATAGCCACAGAATGTGGTGTCGGCAGGAGACAGGCATTATTATAATGATTATATATATACTAATAAGTCGGATTTTCTATGTTTTGCAGATTGGGGGCCCAAAATTGATGTGGTGGGATTTTGTTTTCTAGACCTTGCTTCTAATTATGTTCCACCAGAATCACTTTTAAAATGGCTTAAGGATGATCAAAAGCCCATCTATATTGGCTTTGGCAGCCTAGTAGGTTGCTGCTGACTACTTATTTCAAATATATATTCTTCACAATTCTAGTTACAAAACCAACCTTACATTTAAATTTTGGAAATTTGTTCTTCTCAATGCCTAGCTATTGGCATTTCTAAATCATATAATGATGTTGTTTCTTTTGTATTTATATGCACTGCATCCTTGCAGCCTGTTCAAGACCCAAAAGGAATGACTAAGACAATTGTTCAGGCATTGGAGAGAACTGGACAAAGAGGCATAATTAATAAAGGATGGGGTGGCCTGGGGAACAGTAAGTGGCCGATTTTTGCCTCATACAACCAATATTACTTATCTTTGAAAGAGTTTTGCTTTATAGATGAAGAAGTTATCATCTTCTGATAAAGAGTTTCTCTCAGTGACAGAGCCAAAGGATTTTGTGTATTTATTGGATAATTGCCCTCATGATTGGCTGTTTGCTCGATGTGCTGCTGTGGTAAAACCTCTAATATATCTGACAAAGCTTTTTAAAATTTTCTTAGCTTTATTTTACTCATAACTCTCACGTGAAGATATGGAAATTTATGGTGAAACTGTCCAGGTGCATCATGGTGGTGCAGGAACAACTGCGGCTGGTCTTAAAGCTGGGGTAAGCAAAAAATAAAATAGAATCCTGAATAGCTTTCTTATTTAATATTTTATTAGGCTAATTCGAGTTCCATTGTCCAACTTATTTCTAGTGTCCAACAACTGTAGTACCTTTCTTTGGGGACCAATTTTTTTGGGGTGATCGTGTACATGCTAGGGGAGTGGGTCCTGCACCCATCCCCGCAGATGAGTTCTCACTTGAAAGGCTGGTTTCTGCTATTTACTTCATGCTAAAACCAGAGGTAACTATATATTTTCTGTACATCTATCTTAGGAATCGTTTGGTTCACAGAATATCAAATTACTTTAAGGAATGTTAGATTCATGTGTTTGGTTAAAATTGATTTGTATAGTATAAACTTATTTGGTTTAGAAGTTATTTTGTATGTTATATGTTTTTTTTTAAAGAAAAAAACGTTAACATATTTTCATATATTTCAATAAACTTTAGAAGAAACAAAATTATTTATAAGCCAATATGACGTATTAAAAAATAAAAAATATATATATAATTACAAATTATATATTATATATATTTTATAATATCATAAGCTAATATAAAATAAATATTTTATAATAATTAAATTAAAATTACAAAATTTGTAAATATCCATTGTAATCTTAAATAACTTAAGAATTGTGAAGAAATCACGTTCTCTTCAAAATCTTATGTGGAGGGTATCTTGAAAGATGTTGGGTGGCTTTTACTTTTTCGAAGTTGATGTCTTCAAATGATTAGATTGCTTTTGAAGAAATAACATAAAGAGAGCTTCTTTTTTTTTCCCCTCCAAATCTTTACTAGCTATGTTCGGAATGCAGGTTAAAGAGCGTGCTATTGAACTGGCAAAAGCCATGGAAAATGAGGATGGTGCAATGGGAGCCGTAAAAGCTTTCTACAGACATATTCCTCGGGAGCGGCTCAGGACAGAATCATCAGAATCATCTAAAATATCACGCCTTAAAACTGAATCTAAAATATCACGTCGTCCTAACACTCGGTTCTCTTTAAAATGTTTTTTTGGTCATTCATGATTTTGAAAATGAAAGCAGTGTCAATCATGTTCACTTTCAGCGGGCAGGTAAAATGCACTCGCAGAAGTTTCATGGAATCTTGTCATTGAAGATAAAATCACCGTAATTTTGAGTAGAAATTGCATGAAGTATGCAACTTTAACCATCTTTCTGTCTGTGAGAGAGTTGTGCCTTTTCAAGTGGTTAGCGTCCAAGAATAATTATTGTTGCAAAAGAATTGTGAACAGGACAAAGTTTCTCTTTATGTAAAGACAATTATTTCCACTGTTTGACTCTGCAGACAAAATTATAAAAATGTGTCAGAACAGCACTTGAGAGTATAACATATGACATAAACTTTAACTATGCCTATAGTATGTCCACACTTCTTCCACCTCAATCGCAAGAGTAAAATAGACTTGCCTTAACACAACTCTTTTAAGTTCTTTGAGCTTTAATGGTCTTCCAGAGCTTGATCCATTCTATCATGGCATCAGCAGCACGTTTGAACACGGCATCTTTTTGTCCCAACTGCTGCTTCACAGCTGCGGCGATTTCAACCACGCAATCTTCTACTGTTACAGCTTGTGGAGACAGCCTCACCGTTTGGAAGAATGGAATCACTTCCTCCATCAGCTTCACTCCCTCCCACTCTTTCTTCAAGCTGTCAATGGCACTGCCTCTTTCCTTCCTCCAAACGTATGGAAGCCCGGTTTTCACACCGAGCCTTAGATGGTCACAGACTACCTTAGCGCACATTCCGCTCCATATATCTTCCACGGTTTCCCACCTCAGCTTCCCTTCATTTGACAGCCTGAAAGATGGCAGCAAGGCAGGTCCAACCAGCTCACGGTTAAAAGCTATGTTGATTCCACTCATGGGCATCATGGCCCTAGCTGGGACGGTAAGAACAGCATCCACATATCGGGTGTTTCTCTGCCTTTGTTTGATGGCCTGTGTAGGAGCATCATAATCTGCTAAGTTAAGCCAAAGTCCACATGACAGAGCACATGATACACCAGTTCGCAAGCTAAAAGGGTAGCCACGAACGAAATCTGCTCCTTCACGGAAAGGGTCATATAGAGTGTTAAAGAAAAATGGGGTAGCTGGATTAGCGAGGTTGGTGATATGTTGAGCAACTGCATCTACAAGATTGCCCTTATCATCTCTTGCAGGAAGGCAATCGTCGTCAACAGAGACAATGTATTTCTTGGTGGAAACAAGATAACCAAAATACCGGGATGAATAGCCAGAGAAATTAACAGTTGAAGACCCCATAACATGTTGCATTTCGGATTGTGTATAGACTTCATAATCAAATCCACTGGGGATCTTCAATTCTTCTTTGAGGTCAGGATCTTTAATAATTATAATGTGGAAACGGGAGAACACAGGTCTCCATTCCTCCATAAATTGTGTAAGATCATGTTGGAGTGCACCTATAACAATATCAACCTCATCATCTCTGATGCTGACTGGCAACATTCCATCAGATTCCATTTTGAAACAACCACAGCACTAAATCAAGTGTTGCCCTTTGATCAATGCTAGCACCTGCACTAAATTCAGTCAATGTAAAACAATGTTAAATTATCTCAGAGCACCCTTAAAAAATGCTATTAAAATAGAAAGAGAGAGAGATTATCAAGTTAAAAATAGATATTAAATGAGAGAACCATATGATTTCATCTTTGCCAAACAACTTCAAAATCTTTCGGTTAGCTTAGCTCTTTAAGTTCTCTGCCAGATGACAATATTGTAATTATAGTTGGGTATTAGTAAGGTTCTGATAACCATTCAGTCATTTACAGCAATGTATGTTAATAAGTTAATTGTTAACAGATCTATTAGTTTAAGAGTATAGGTGGGTTTTCCGGTATTTATTAAGAATAGTCCTAAAATAGGAGGGAGTTTTATATGCATAAAAAAACATGGGAAAGTAAGTGCGATGCTACAACCCTGAAAGAAATACTGTAATAAAAATATGAATATAGGATAAGTATACTATCAATTCTAGAGAAAATAAAGCATTGCATGGCTGCCAAACACCTTATGGTCGAGAGGCATGACAGTGGCTCTCCCAAATGGGAGGTCACAGGTTCGAACCCCAGTGGGGGGCATTGACTCTTTGTGCTTCAATAGGTTGATAAAGTATGTATTGACAGATACTACATTAAAAACATTCACACACAATCATGGCTATCTCCAATAGTTTGGGCTCAAAAAAAGACATAAGCAGCATATTTTTTAACACAGCATCCTTTAAATAAGTAAATCTACTAACTGGAAATTTGAAATGAACAAAATGCATTCATTTTAATGGCAGTTTATGGCACAATTGCACAACTCTAGACCAGGACAGGTTTGCAACAATCTGTAACAAACTTAAGCTTGCCCCCTCGAATATGAAAACTAATTGTACCTCAGTGTTACCAGATCATTTGAATAACCTGTGGAATCAACCTATGCCTAATTGAAATCTTCATAATTCAGATCAGAGCAATGTAGCTTAACTGCTTGCTGTCACAGTAGCCAGGTAAGGACTAACCTCTAATTACCTAATGCAAAGAAACAGATCAACAAATTTAAAAGCTTCTGAACTCGAAATACTCATCCAATAAACAAATTAATCGCCGGTCCTTTCCTCTCCACTAGATTTGAATAGACATTGCATACATTCCATACAATCCACGAATTTCCAACACATAACAAAGAAATTCCACAAATCCACACACGAGTGAAGTAAAAAACCTAGATAGCTCAGATCAATTCATTCACAGTCAATATGAGCATTAGAACACATAAAATCCAGAAAATGATGCAAATACAGATAAATACGTTCAATCAAAATGAAAGATCACAAACGTATAGGCATTTATATGTGCACATATACACATTACGTTGATTATATACAGCGAGAGAGAGAGAGAGCGAGTACCAGTAGTAGCCGGAGAAGGATGTGCTCAAGCAAACTGGAGAGATCAAAGAAGTTAGAGGGCTAACAAGCAATATGTTTTCTCCCGCTTCACACTCTCTTCCTCTTATTTATCATCGTTTGGAGTCTTCGAGGGTTCTGTCCCCCATATTTTAAGAAATTATATATTCATCCCCTGAACTTTCATTTTCATTTCACTACTACCACAAATTTAAAATTTATATTAAATTCAACATACTAACTATGAAAGAAGATAAGAAAAAAAAAATTATCCATTATATTTTATTTTACCTACCATTTTTATTACTCAACGTAACTAATCAATCATTCTTAATTCGTTTTACTCCATATTTCCTTTATAATTAGGAGTTTCCAAAAATGAATTATGAAGTTGAAAATTTTTTATTATTATAACTTTTTACATAAGTTATTGGTTGATTATGGCTATCTTGATGGTTAAGAATTCAATAGACATTTAAACATAGGGATAAACAATAATTGATTTTCAATTGATTATATGTTATAAAGTTTTAATAAAAACATTAATTATTTTGATTTTCCAGTCAATTATGATTATTTTAATTTTTAGATTATTTCAATTTCAATTTTAATTTTTAACTAAAACTAATTCTTACACACATTTCTTTTTTATTTTTTGAATACATTAAGTGTCTCAATAGCTCTACTCAAGAGTCATAAGGAGTGTTCATCACTTCTAATCGATACTGCTAAAATAAAATTTTATAGTAATCGATCGAATTAATTGAACTAACTCCATGGTAGTACACACTCCAATTTATATTTATGCCGTTGAATCGTTGATGAAATTAGCAAATTGGGAGTAAGGTTGCTTATCTTGTTTTCAACGATCTATGACCAAAAAATGCCTTGCCGGCCATCCAACTCATTAGTCATAAAACCATTAATTTTAATTTGAAAAAAAGGTATAGTAAGTGAAAGTAATTCAAAGTTGGCCAAACATAGTTTGTCCTCCAGTTAATAATTAGCAATACAAGGAAGTTGGGCAGAAATTAAAGAAGCTGACCTAGCCAAGTGGATGAAATATGTATGTAGGAGTAAATTGATTCTTATTTGGTAAATTATGAGTAATAAAATATAATTGAATCTTAATAGTTGTAATATGAGTAAAAATTTTACTTAATGTAATAAACTTATTGTAAGTACCTAAAAATCACAAGTTTGATCTCTCTTGTACGATTTGTGAATTATTACACATCAATAAAATTTACATATCTTATTTAAATCTCGCAAGCTTAACTCACTGATTCAGTAGGCCGTATTTAAGATGAGAATAATGTTCGAACTTCAACAATAGTAGTGTGATATTCTACTCAAAGTGAACAGATCTTTTGTGCCCCACATGCCTGAGGATACAACCTTTTGGGAGGAGAAACTAAAGCAGCTAAGAAAAAAACGAATACATAAATTTCTCAATTCAAACACGTAGAGCAGCCACCAAAATTGTCCTGCACAACCATTTATATATACAGCCGAAACCAAAATTGAAAAAACAATACTGAATAAAGCTAAGGCACACATGATCAATATAATGCTGCAGATCAGACTCTATTTTGCTCCAATGATTGACATGAGAAGCCTAAGCTTTTCATCAACATCTGCGAGATCTGAAGGGTCTTCGAATGGCGACGGTGGCTCAACTCCAGTTAAGATGAACAATGCCTTCAGTTCATCTACAATAGACGATTGAGGCGCAGCTGTGTATCCCAAGACCCCTCTTATTGCACTCATCTGCTCCCATATCTTCTCCTCACTCACCATAACCTAACACACACATACATATATTCATAGTATATCATACATCAATCTTGAAACACTGAGACCATATTGTAGTATGATATCTGTGAGTACCAATGTACCATAACATTAACAACACATTTTAGCATCATTGTTGCAGTTTGTTTATCCTAGAAATGCTAGTTAGGCATGAAGATATATATTGTGCAGGAAACTTTATATGGATTATATATATATATATATATATATATATATATATATATATATATATATATATATATATAGTATCTGCTATGCACTGACCTCACTGGAAGGTGCTCCTGCTGAAACCTGCTCTGATGCATTATTTCCATTTCCTTGTTTCTCAGTTTCTGGTGCAAACTGGGTTTCTTTCACCAGTACTGCCACAGTTGTTATCTCCACTTTGGCTTCTGTACCAATGAGTGGATTTTCATTATCTACCATGGAACTTGGGGTGTCTTTCTTCTCTTCTTCTTCCTCAAATCCAGACGTTTTTTCTAGGTGTTCCTCGTCGTCTTCTTCGAATTCCTTCATGGAACTACTACTTAAATTACCTAGCAAAGTAGTGACACTTTTGTGCTCAAAATTTTCCTCTGCTTCGTGATTTTCAGTACTTGTTGCCACCAAGTCTAACCCTTTGGTCCTTGTAACATTTTCACCAAATTCAGAATGCACTTCTTCTTCTCTCCCTGGCTCATCATCACTTTCTAAGTTCATCTCTGGCATTGGTTCTTCTTCTTCTTCTTCTTCTTCTTCTTCTTCTTCTTCTTCTTCTAAGTACTCACCAATGTCCTCCTCATAACCTTCCTCTAAATCCTCATCAATGCTAATTTCATTCTTCTCTTGGTGTTCTCCTTCCAAGTATTCACCTACATCCTCCAAATTCTCATCGATCTTAACATCTACTACTTCTCCCTCCAAGTATTCATCGCCAATGTCCTCCTCATAAACTTCCTCTTCCAAATCCTCATCATCATCATCTACACCAATCCCTAATTTATTATCAACATACTCTGATCCTTCTTCATTATCCCTTACCAATTCAATCCTCTCTTCTCCCTCCATCTTCATTTCTTCCTGGATTAATGCAAATTCGCCTTTGTAAACCCTACCGTACAATTCTTCCCCAAATTCTTCTTCTTCGAATTGATTTCCATCTCTAAGCGCTTGTGAATGATACTCCAAAGGCAGCAGTTTGCTCATGAGCTTCTCAGTGCAGGCATAGCTGCCCAGGAAAACCCCCGCAGGGACCAGAACCACGAATCCCACAACACAAATGCTTATGAGAGGAGGAAGAACTAAAGGCGCAGACGACACCATAATTCCAGTAATTACAACCTTCTTCCCCAATCTCAGTCCCGCGTTCAAAACCCATCTTGTCTTGCTAACAATACCCTTCTCCTCTTCTTCTTCTGGTAAACCACACTGTTGTTCATCAATCCTCCAATATTCAACTTCTCCCCCTTCCATCCTCGCTTGCCAATCCACACATGTATATATGTATCTCAGCAAAATGGAAAAAAGGCATGTATACTCGATCACTATACTGATCGAGATTAAGAGGTATGATTAATTAATACGGAGCAGCAGAAATCTGGAATATGGGAATTGGAGAAATGCTCAAGAACACCAAGCAAACAGGTTTTTGGGTAATTATATTCAGTGTGAACGTGAGTGATAGGATGATGATGATGCGTTGGGAAGTGGGAAGAGGATAGTGCATGCATGACAGTTGCTGCGCTGAGAAGAAGACAGGCGTCACCTGCATGGATTTTTTGCCAGCTTGCCAGCAAATAATGGCCAAATTTCATGATCCTTCTTAAACATTTCTCAGTTCTGATCCCCTTTAATTAATGAATTCTGTTATTTCCAAAAAAAAAAAAAAAAAAAAATTAAACATTTAAATCCAGCAGCTCTCACAAAAAGTAAGTTCAATTTAGAATCTGCTCTCACCAAATTTAGAATCTACTCATTCCTTGCAAGCTGATTGTTATCACAAGAAGTCAACTATCAATGATCTACATTATAAGGTTGATAGTTAATACATTAAAAATAACTTTTAGTATACTAAAATTGAATATTTATCAATTATCAACCTTATAATGTAGATCATGGTCCACAAAATAATTTACGTGTTAAAGTTAATAAAAGAGCTGGTGCAGGTGGAAGATGTATCTAAGCTAAAATTTGTAACATGATTTGACTAAATTCGAATTAGTTTTACAGTACTGAAATGGAGTAATGGGACCTTTTAAAGTAATAAGAAAGCAACAGAACTCAGACTAGAAGCATTCGACACAGAGTTTAAGAGAGTGACAGAAACATGATTCATTGCAATGGAGGAAATGACAGAAAAACATGAAGCTAATAGACCCCCATGAAGAAAGTGTTTAGTCCATCCTGCCCTTCAAGATTCTTTCTGTTACTTCAGTTGGGGTACTGCAAATACAATTCATAACATATAAGTATATATATGAGAACAAAGTAACTTTAGGGGAAATAATGTGCAACACCATGCTCTATAATAATTCTAGAAAACGACAATATATTGACGTAGAGCAAGCATCTGATGAAGACTTACACAACATAAACATGTCCTCCCCAACCACTCAAACAGTCACGGTCTACTGATGCAACGAGTGCTTGAGAGATTGTCTCGAACAATTCCTCGGGTTCCTGATGCAACATTGAGCAAATGGAATGTCATTAAGATGAGCTATAGGCAAAGGAAAAATTATAAAAGATGTGATTAAAAGAAAAGGATTCAACTATTAGTGTGCTACTTTTAATTTTCATTATGTGAAGGAAAGGATAGTAACGAACCATGTCAGGCTTGAACATTGCTTCACAGGCACCATACAGTGATTCTGAGGCAGTACCCGCAACAACAAAATCTTTGGCAAGCTCTCTACAACAAAGGCAAAATAGCTATTAATTTATAGACTTGCCACTTTATTTCTTCATTTCTACATAGCATTTTAATTCTCTTAGTTTAACCAACTGAAGGGAGTTCAATTATTTCTCACAAAAAGAACGATAGAGAGATTGAGCACATGTTCAAGAGATTGAAAGTGATGCCATGTTCAAGAGATTGAAAGTGATGCACAGAATCTGAACATGTTCAAGAGAATGAAAGTGAGAGGAGAATCTGAACGTACTTTGCTCCAATAGAATCCATAGTACAAATGAAAGGCTTGTCTTCATCTCCCAATCCAGCAATCACAGGTTGGCAGAAGTATGGACCAAACCTAGTTCAGAGAAAACGATTTCATTTCACAGTTTGTCTTCTTATAATATCAACTGACACTGGTCACAACAGGAATGGCAGCAAAAAGAAAAAAATAAAGTAGACTTTCTTCTGATAGTCTAATCAAACAAGAAGACAGGTAGAGGGATGATGAAGGAGTTGCATAAAAGAGCATGAATATATACACTCAATATCTATTTACCCAAAATTTGCTTAATACTAACGGAAGTATGGAACATTTGTCCACCATAAGAAAACCACTCATTTTGGCATAACCTGTTGCACACTATGCTTCAGAGAAAAAAATCCAAGTAATGTCAAAGTAGTTTGCTCAGTGGGGCTCAGAAATTACAATGATTTCAAAGCAAATAGTAAGGAAGTAGATAAGGTGCTATGTGAAATTAATATAAACATATCAATGTTTGGAAAAATGTTAAAATGAACATAACTCCAAATTGATATTTTAAAAAAATCTTAATTTTCACATTTTCCTATATTTGGATTAAAGGTAATGACTTTATGGTTGTTGTTATATACATAAGCTTGGAAACAGACACTAAGGGGCCGTTTACTTTTGTTCGTTTTCTATTCTCTGTTTTCTAAAACAGAAATTGAAAAAGTTGTTTACCAGTACTTACTTTCGAAATTAATTTTCCACTTACTAAATTAAATATGTATTAAATTAGTTATGGAAAAGCCATTTGTTATAAGCTAGAACTAATAATTTAGATGAACTGATCCATAACATCTTGCAGGAATAAGTTACTAAGCTGCTGATTTATCATTGCCACTAATTACCAAACAAGATTGGTTGTGGCAATTGAGCCCTATACTTGCCCAGAATGATTGCCATTGACATGAAAATCACATAAGATCAACCCAAGCCTTTATCATTTTGTTTGGTACATGAAGATCATTAATTTACTGGAACCAAAATGAAACAACATATCAGAATACTTTAAGATACAGAACATACCCACATTAGATTTGAGTTGCATTGATCAAACAACAAATAATCCAACCATCCAAACAACAAAGATCTAGACTCAGGTCATTAATTTAAGCAGAAATTCAATCCCAAGTTTCAATGACAATTAAATCAGGAGTATAACAAAGACACAGAGAAAGAGAGGTGTACTTGGTGCCAGTTATATACAACCTTATTTCATGATCTCTGGCTCTGTACAGTGGGGTGGCACCCCCCTTGGTGCCATTTATAACATCTTTACTTATGAAGGGGAAAACACACATACACATAAAGACAACAAACAAACACTAGTCTTAACAAACGCAAAAACCATATCTATAAGACCCCCCACATCAAGTCTACAGCCAATACCACTGGACTATAAGGCATTTGAAACACCATCACCTCTGTAAATATTCAGACAGTTACTGACCTTTTCTCATATAAGATTGCAGATACAAGGCTGGCAAAAGTCTCGGGCTTCATATCTCTCTCTTCTCTAAGTTGATATAACTTGTGGCGGAATACAAGCCGTTGATACCTATAGAGGAAACCCATTGATAAATATAATGATATATGAGCCCTAAATACAGTCTCCTAAACCAATAGCCAGATATTCCATGCAATATTTCCATTCCATATGGATCATTTAACCTATTATAGGTAGATGAAAAAAGTCCTAACAGTTCTAATAATGATATTTTCGCTTCTTAAAAAAGCAGTCAATTGTACATAGAAACACAGGTGAACACATGCAAAATCGAACATTTTTGGCTTTTTCACATCCAAGCATGCTAATTGCTATCATAACTAGTAAATACAAAACCAAAATCCAAATAAGGATCACAGCTTCTACCAAGTTATGGCTTTTTTTTATATAACTACATGGATTTGCTAGAAACAGGTTTTGGACCATTGACGAGAATCCGCTCCTAGATGCACCTGAAAACTCTAGCCCATTTGTTGACTTGATACTGAAGCCCTCTGAAGAGGACTCGAAAATCTGGCTTTAACTATAAAATTAGGGGGTGGGGGAGCAATTACTTGTGTGCTTTTGATAGTAGCAATAACTTCAATACGAATTCACAAATAGATAATTCCAATTCCATTATCAGGTACTACAAGCATACTGCGTATTTGCACATACAGAGTTTGGACATCGGTGGCGAGGCCGGCGAGGCCGAGAAAGAGCTTGCCGTGGATTTTGTAAATCCTCTCGAAATCAGTGGCGACGGTCTGCAGCTGTACACCGAGCCGCCGGTCACTAGCAATGGCGAAGCAATTCTTCCCCACCATCGCCACTAGGGCACTTCCGTTGTACTCAAAGATCTGCTCAGCAATTCACATACACATATGAATAATAAATAAAAATACAATTGGCACAATCAAATACACGCAAACATCTACGTTTAGAAGAAAAATATACTTACCGACATCCTAAGACAGGCGCTAGAGAGAAATCTGGAGGCAGGCGAGAGATTCTGAATAGGAAGAAGAAGAAGAAGAAAAAAGTGTGCTTTAAACTTTCGTGCCTGAAACAAGTCTTGGATGGCACTCCATTGTACCCATTTTATACTTGGGCTTGATATAACGGGCTTATTTTTTTTTGATAAGACCCAAATTATGATACGGGCTTTCTCAATAAGAATTGTTGGCCCGTTGGGTGCCCAGTAGGCAAATTATATTGTGGATTCTAGATTCATTTTATTTTATTTATTTTTTGAAAGGCATTTTATTTATTTTTAGTATACTATAAATTTATTTTTAAGGTGGACACTGGAGAGAGTAAATCATTTACATGTTAATTTTTAGTATATTAAAAATTTATTTTTGAGTACAAGTTTATTACAACTATATGACACAATAAAATTTATATATATATTGATGAGTTGAAAGCTAAAGGTAAAAGAGTCAAATTGATCACCAAATCGATTGGATAGTGCAATTGGGTCTCTAAACAAAAAAAAAAACAAAAAAAAAAAACAAAAAAAACTCTATTCAGATTATCTAAGCTTGTAAAATTGTTCAATTAAATTCAAATTGACTTATTAAGCAAGTTAAGTCTTTAAAGTTTGCCACGTGTCTTTTTAAAATATTTTTTGGTTTTTTAATACAACTTCTTATTTATTTATTAAAATTTATATTAAAACACACACAATCACCGGTTGTTCGGCGAGAGAGATACGAAATGAGAGAGATTTGGAACAGTTTTTCAGGTAAAAGTCTCCCCGACCGGTGAACGGACTAGAGATCAGACAATTGACAGTTCAAGCTGTTGATTCTGCCAAAGTATGCTTCAAAGGTAATATGTTTAAACTCTCTCTTTAAACGTAAAATCTAAGAAAAAGTGATTGATAGATGCTTCTGCTACATTGGTATGAATTTTTCTAACACCATTAACTTTAGTTCAAAACTTTAAAAATACCCTAATTTTCGTCCATTTTAAAAATTTGTCAGAAATGTTGGCCGGTTGGTGTATGCGTGTTTAATTTCTGGCAGTGCATGCACATATACATATCACATATGGAAGGATTTAAAAACTGTTCAAGAATAAAACCCTAATAACACATTTAGTGTACAGATTAAATAAGTTCAAAATAAAATAGTATTTCTAAAATAGACATTCCCAATAATCATATATCCCTAAAGAATAATAGCTTGATCAAGCGAGTCATTGTGCGGGCAATCATTATTTGATGGACTATGATCATAAATAAAAAGTATATTTTTAATATACATAAAATACATTATATTATATACTATTAAATATTGTAATATATACATTAAGTATACAAATAATGTACTTTTAATATATTAAAAATGTACTTCATATTTTATATTTATGGTCCCAAAACAAAAATGCCATGTTATTGGCTCAATCAATCATTTTAAGCCCAATCAATCAATTCCGCTAATGGTTTTCATCAGATAACGCAAGACTTGGTATAAAATGTTAGGCGGTAATTAATTAGTTATTAAGAAGCATAACCACGATTCTTTGATTTGGCATGCCAATTAAGTTGCTAAGCAATACAAGAAATGCCTAACATTTGGTTGGCTCAATCACGGTTCTTTGCTACGTACCATTGTCATCCGAAGGAGTGCGCTGGATCCGATGAAGTCAATAAAGTATTTACTTATCATAAGGAAATAAAGTAATCTACGTTGTCCATAATTAACATATTCAAACAGAGAGAGTCAATAAACAATTTATATATATACTCAACTTTGGAACTTTGCGATTACCAAAGCAACTGTCCACCAACAATTCTATACCCAAAAATAATGGATCGGATCTTGTTGAATTGGATGGGTAAATAATCAGATTAATAAGATAAACTTAATGTTGTTTGTGTGTATATTTATGTACGCGCACACATTATCTTCTTCTCCCAAAAGGTTTAATTCTCGACCCCCAGGGTTCCCTACACCCCAACCTAATTAACAGAGCATTTAGGAGGATGTAAATTACGGTTACTCAATGACTCAGCCGACATTATCTGACTGTATACACGCGTGATATCATCATATACACGATATACGTGTATATACTTACAAGAATATTAACAAATTTAATCCCTACATCTTTCAATGGAACCAAATATAGCATGTAGCTAGGTTTGACAATATGAGGTAGGTTATGAGGTAAATAATGCACACAATTACAAGGAGTATACATACACATAAATATAGTAGGCGTAATTGAAGAACAATCAAAACAAGCGTATGTGTATATATCGATCAATATAATATATGAAGATTCAAAAAGCTAGCCCAATTAGGTCGAGGCAACACATTCAAGTTTGTCAACTAATTAATCTATCACAAGGTTTCAATTTCAATTTCTTTTTAGAGCAGTCTATTGGCATCTTGATTGAGTCAATCAGCTAACAACCATTCAGGTAATGGCTACAAGCAAGCATTTCTCTAAATTAATGAACCTCGATCAATCACATTAAACCCTAAAATCCTAAATCAAGTAAAGGTTAGTAGTAGTCTCAAGCAAGCTACAACCCATCAATCTAACCATGAATTGATTCAATTCCGATGTATAGATCCAAAATCTATTTATAAAAAAACCATCCTAACTTAACCCAATATTATAATACAATTTCTTGTTTTTCGATGAGTTGATCGAGCTACCTAGCTTCACCACAAATTCAAAAGACAGAACTAGAGATCCAATTAAGGTTTCAATCCAATAAAACATATATGTATACACAAGTAAGAATTCACTAACTAAAGAAGCTACTATACCTTGCTAACATATGCTTAATTAATACTGTAATTTACACAAGAATTCTTCTGATCTGAACAAAGAATCAGGCAGGATATATGTATATTGTCACTTTACAATTGATTGATCAGCATCATCAAAACTCAGATCAAAACCCTAACAATTATTATTGCACAAATCGATTAACTAATGATGATTACCTTCACCCTCTTTCTGCTTCCACTCCAACCCTATAAATTTGCAGGGAGAATACCTGATTTTGTACTCTGTAATGGTCTCAAGCTTCGGAGACCAGACCTGATCTTTGGACCCCACAAGTTGCTCGTAATGCTTTTTCAACTCCGGCGTACTACACAGAATCTTACAGTCGTCGACGTTGTCGTCGCCGGCCGCGGCCTGCAAATTCTCTACTCCGTTGCTTCCGCTCAGAAGATTCACTATAAACTCCGGCACCACCTTGATCAAAACCCTACCGTTGGATCCCTTAATGTACTCAAACGCCGCGCTCCTGAAATTGGCCGGGGCGGCGCCGCCCCTCCGCGGGCTGCGCCCCAAGGCCGCGAGAGAGGAGGCGGAGAGGACGTTGGTGGCGAAGCAGTCGAGCGGAAGGACCAGGTACGTCTGCCCCGCTAAAAGCTCGTCGTCGATGGTCAGAACCGGCAGCGGTTGACCGATGAAGAAGGAATGTGCATGGCACACCATGCAGTCCGGGAACTCAAACATCACCTCCCCGGCCACGCGCCGTTTCCCGGCGACCACCCGGGACTTCCCGTCGTGGAAAATCAGCGTCGCCGGCGACCGGGAAGATGCAATGGTGTTAAGACAGCAGTACGAAAGTGATGCAGTGTTTCCCATTTCTTCAAATCCGACAGAAAATAATGCTCAGAGCCGTAGAATTGGTTAGAAATAATGTCTGTTAGTTGAGCTTCTCACAACGTTATATATATATATATATATATATATATATATATATATATATATATATATATATATATATATATATAGAAAGGATTGATGATTGACTTTGATGAGGTCAATGATGAAATTGTGTTTTTTTTGGCCATAATAATTTTCTCTTGGTTTGCCGGGGAGAGCGGGGGTCGGTGGTCAGTAATGCCGGCGGGTTTGAATATCCCTTAATCAACTTGTGTATCATCTTTAATGTGCACAATATTCATCCAACCAATCCCTAACATTCATTAATCAGTAGACTTTACTTACTGCTGCAATGGGGAATTGAAGTTTAAATTTCAAGATTGAATAAATTATCAATACCCTTGACATGGCTATATACATTGTACATATGCTCAAAATATAATATAATGTTACTAATCCGTGTATTGCTTCTTTCATATGTGTTTGCTCAAATTTAGTTAAAACTCGGTTCATCGAATGTTATTTTGAATAACTTCTTAGGGTACGTCTTAATTAAAGACTAATACATTTGAGGGTGTTGCAATTGAATAATCGATTATGTGATTTATTATATTAAAATCACAAGTCTATACCAGTATACCACTTGACTAGAAGATTATTAGTATTAAATGATATAACAAAACCTAAAGTTTGTACAAGTTAGTTCTTTAAACTTAGGATTAGGGTTTTTACAACTTATGCTAAAAACATTAATAATCTATGTATTGATTCTTTCGTAAGTGCAGTGGTACGTACGTTTATTTGAATTCAATCGAGCCTCGATCAATCGAAACCTATTCAAAATAGCTCTCTAAAGAATCGATAGATTTGAATATAATTGAGGGCGTTGGGGTCGATTAAATGACTTATTATAGTCACAAGTTCATATTATCACTCTAACTACAAGGTTATCAATATATATTTAGTATAAAATTAAAGGATACAACAAAACCTAAAATTTGTAGAATTTGTTTAAATTTAATTAGGATTAGGGTTTTTACAACCTATTTGCCGTTTTACCTCTCACTGTGAGCATATATCTATTAATGTGTATCCAACTATTAGCCTAGGCTTTTAGTTGAGATGAAGCACATGTTTCAATTTGGTATCAAAGTCAGACCAAAGGTCATGGGTTCGAATCTCAACGTCACTTGTAAGTGACTACGGATGGACGGTGCACATGCTAGATGTTTTTTTTTTTTTAGTACTAGTGACTCTTATTATAATGTAGTATAGATTCATAATTACTTTCTCAACTTACTAAAACACAAAGAGTTAATACCGCCCCATTAAGGATTACACCCACTGGTATCTGTATTCCATAATCGGATCTCATTAAAACATTGTTATATATAATCAGTTTAAATGATCAATCTTATACTTGAGCAACTCAAACAATTCTTATTTCACAAAAAAAAAAAAAAAAAAAAAAAAAAAAAAACACACACACACACACACACACACGGATACACAGAAACTAAATAAAAGAAATTTTAACCCACATTTAATTTAATAATAATAATAATAATAATAATAATAATAATAATAATAATAATAATAATAAGTACTATGCGTCTATGCTGCATTGCTGCTGTAATATAATTAATCCCAAAAAAAAAAGCTAAAATTATTTGTGTTTCAATTATTGTGCAATTATTACAAAATTCAAATACTGCGAATAACAACCCAAAGGTAGTCGAGTAGTGGAACATGATTCTCATCATAGTCGAATGATTTATGCATTATTACATAGGAATGGGGTTAAGTTAATTTATCTAGTGCAAATTCTCACATAGTGATTACAAGTTTTCCTCATTAGTCAAAAAAAAAAAAAAAGTGCAAATAACATGTTTATCGTACATCTTTGAGAAATAGATATGCATTATAAAGAGAATATATCAAATTATTATGACATTTCATTTTATTTTTCATTCATTGCCTCGTCGGTTAACAATTCATTGAACAAAGACAATATGAAACTTTGATACTTACAATATATAATGACTTTTTTCAAGTCAAACTTTGTGAATATAATATGACACTAATTAAATTTGGATTATTCTCACATAATGGAACTAACACACCGGGTATGCAAAAATATTACAATATTTACAAGTTACAATAATTAATAAATCAAATTCACATTAATTGAAAGAATAAAAAATAAAGATATGCACTCATTTTCTTTTTTAAAAAAATGCAAATAATTAAAATAATGTGTGTAAACAACTACCATGAGTACATGCCAAGATTATTAAAATTGAATTTAAAAATCCACATATGAAATAAATGTGTATTATTCTAAAAAAAAATGCATGAAATGACTAATAATAGAATTTAAAACAATACATTTTTTTGTCCTTTTTTGTTCTCAACGTGCCGCGTGCGATCTAATACGGAGTACTGAATATTATTTTAATAACTCTTAATTTCCTCCAACTTCCTGCCCATATATCCTACTCCCATGGCCAAATTTTTCTTCTCCATGGCCAAATTTCGATTGGACTTTTACTACATTTTTGTTTTATTAAAATCACTATTTAATATTTATTACATAATTGTTTTCAAAAAAATATTTATTACATAATTTGTTATAGTACGAGACCGTCTATCATTAAATGATTTTCAAATATATAATTGTTTATAACGAAAATGTAAAACTTTTATATATATCATCTCAATAAGTCCGAAACTAATAAACTTGATAGCCAACAAGGTTGGACGGATTGACATTCATAATTATAGTTTGGCATGATTTGGTAACATATAGTTAGCTTATCAGTCAATTTTGACTTATTTGACCACGGTTAGTTAGTTGACTTGGTTAAATAGTCAATATATGTGCTTAATTAATTAGCTATTTATAACAGCTTATTGCTCTAAAATGTTAAAATTCAAAAATTTGTTCAAAGAAAGTTATTTTGCATGTAATAAGCTATCAGCTAACATCCAATTTACCAAATATTTTTCTACAATCATCTAATAATATTAACTAGTCAACCCCACTAACTCAATCAGCTAACAACAATTTACCGAACACCACTTTTATCTGTTACACATGAGATGATTCCACACAATATCAATTGAAATGTTATATTATTGTATTCAATTCATTTTTGTATTTAATTTGTCATGTAAACTTTTTATTAACTCGTGGTATTAAGGGTGATCAATTTAGAGCACACATATTTAATGAAAAAAATATTTTTAACTTTTATATATAATGTCATATTTGAGAGTAAACAATTAACTTGGGGAATATAGTATTTCTTTTATTCGATTTTTATAAAATTGGATTTGTTGTTCATGGTTCAATCACACCATTAATTAATGAGGTCATCTACCCTAATTAATTATAATTTCTTTTGGAGTTAATACCCAAAATGGTCCCTCGACTATGTCATAATTACCAATTTGGTCCTCAACTACCATTCTTATCCAATTAAGTCCTCAACTATGTAACTTTTACTCAATTAAGTCCTCAACTATATAATTCTTACCCAATTTAGTCCTCAACTATACAATTCTTACCCAATTTAGTCCTCTGTATTAATTTGACTGTTTGTTGACTGTCAAAAGTCGGGATAAAATTATAATTTTACAAGATTTCTCCTTCCTCTGCATTTAGCAGCGCCAAACCATGCAGCAATACACTCCGATCAGATTTCGATCGTCAAAAAATCGTTGGAAATCAAATTCATGGGCTATCCGATGCATAACCACTACTTCGATACTGACAAGTTTAGAACCCAACCGGAGCTTATTGCTACATGGTTTGGCGCTGCTAAATGAGGAGGAGGGAGAAAACTTGTAAAATTATAACTTTATTTCCACTTTTGACAGTCAACAAACAGTCAAATTGACAAAGGACTAAATTGGGTAAAAATTGTATAGTTGAGGACTTAATTGGGTAAGAATGATAGTCGAGGACCAAATTGGTAATTACGACATAGTCGAGGGACTATTTTGGGTATTAACTCTTTCTTTTGGACCATACGTTTGGTTATATAATAAATGCAAGTGCAACCACCGCAGCAGATATTTAACAGCTGTTTAATTTGTAATTTCACGGAGGGTAACTGTCACAATTGCATTTAGTGGCGGTTCTTAAAGTGTTACAATAGAAAGCGTTTATCAGTGCATATTATCGAATACTGATTGTGATTTTTTCTTTTTATAAAAGAAATCGTAATAATTATTTTATAACCATTAAACTTGTATATGGATATAAAATAAAGATTTAGTTAACATTTTCTTTTCGTAAAATTTCATAATTATTTATAGAACTCAATTTTGTTTTAAGATCATGAGGTGTTCTGAACAAGTTCTAACTGTAGGAGGTACCTTTAAGAACATATCATACTTAGACTAATCCTCATTCCCACCTTTGTTGTTCATGCATATATGTCCGACCCGACCCGGATTTCCATTGAATTAATGAACCCAAATTTTAATTTCTTTTGGACAATACATTAGGCCTTAGTTCGTGTGTGTTCATAAACCTAAAATCATAGACAATCAACGCCACGTGGTCAATTCTACTAATCGCTGACCAAAAAGGCATTTTTTAGAATCTAGCTAAGCGTTGCATGTAATCATACATTTACAAATTTTTAAAAATAGAAAAAAAACACTATTTTTCTTTACATTTTAGGCACATTACATTGTATATAAATTTAACCATTAATTTTAATTTTAATTTAGAAAAGAAAAAAAAAACAAAAACAAAAACAAAACAAAAAAAAAAAAACAAAAACAAAACAAAAACCTTCTTCTCCAACCTAAAGGTAGATGAATACTAATTCTTCATCTTCGGACCAGAGATGAAAAATGAGGGTTTGAGTTTGTTTTTTTTTTTTTTTGTTTTTTTTTTTTTTAAATAATATATAAAAAAATTCATTTCAAATTATTAGAATAGATTAAAGAATAACTTTTTAAAA